GCTGAGTCAGCCACGAATTTAGAGACAATGGAAGTGAACAATGAAAGTTTCGGTGGAAAATCGTCAGCTAGACGAACGTCAGCTGTTTTCTTGTTTTTAGTGTCAGATAGTCAGCACTGGATTAGTATAGTGGCATTTTATTTAGTTGTAATAGGGGAGATATTGCAACAAACATTTAAAGTTTATGCTATAGTGTACTATTAGGGGCAAGTCGACCGCAACCACACTGTTCACGTAATGAAAATTGTTTAGTTTCCCTTCTCTCAGTTTGTGATCTAAGCAAGTATAAATATTAAAACAGAATATAGCATATAAATAGCCTACAATATTCACAGCTTGCTTTGACAGATTCATTTGCAAACTCTGATAACAAAAACAATAAAAAAAAACGAACTAACTATGGCAAATCTCATCGTATCTTGTTTAGGGGCCGCGCATGAGTGCAGTTGGCGTAGTGCACGTCTACCCATTGGGATCTCTTGTGCTTCCCCTTGCCTTTATTCCCTCTCATCCGCAAAAAATCCTATCCATTAAGATATTATTATGAATCAAGTGCTTGGGTGAGAGGGACCTATAATCTTATGGTGTCGGGTAAGTCGACCCCAGGAGATCCATCCTAGTTCTTGCTAGCGCGTATAATATGGTATTTGGAAAAAGTTGAGTCGTCAGTATTTACAACTTTCTCCGACTAAAAAACTCCTTTGTTTCAACTACTGCAATTCCTACGTCCAGGATCTAAAATACTTTACAACTCGTCCACTAACAGAGCCATCTTATTAACAGACTTCAAAAACGAGGAGGTTCTCATTCAATCTCGTCTCAAACTGTCTTGGGACCAGCAGTGAATTGATCAGTATAAAGACTGCACGTCTTCCAATAATTTGAAGAAACCGAGCGGTGGCGCGCTGCTGAATCAGCCACTGATGCAAAGAAAATGGAAATGCATGACCCAAAATTATTTAGATATTTACGTCAAAGCAAGACATTTGTTTATTACAGTAATTATATTGATGAAAAAAAAAAAACAAATCCGAGCCCCAGTCGTTGACTGAAAAATTGTTTGTACTTAAACAATCTAAACTCACTTTCGAGCTAATGTTTTGAAAGGAAGGATACTTTTGGCACATCCAGTATATCTTTCTCTTTATAGGCCAACACAGCAGTGACAATGTATTTTGGATATCTTTTCAATCGTCGCCTAACTAACTCCCTTCGTTTACTATCCAGATAACGTAAAACCGAAGTCCATGAAATAAACTTAGAAACTGAATAAAAACTTGGTCAACTGTACTTTTTAATATTGTAGAGTCCAGTATGAAATATTCTTTATTTTCTTATGTGTTAAAAAGGTAGGTATTTTCAATTATTTATTTCAGCTTTATTATAGTTTAGCGTTATAGTAATCGACATTAGATTGCAAAGCTTTTATTTCTTTGTGATTTGTGGTTATTAGGGGTAGGTAGTGTAAACGTGCATATTTAAAAAAAAGTGTGCCCAATAAGCAACACGTGAAAACCAACGGAATTTTTGATAATTTTTCAGGATTTGACAATATAAGACCAAGTAGTCACCACGCTATAAGTATAACCCTTTGAGGTTCATCTACTCTAAATAGTGAATTTTCAAATCATCCAAAAAAAGTATTGGCAAAAAATTTATGAGATCTAAAATAACTAAAATAAACATCAATGCAATATTTTACCGAAACCGAATTCGTTATCAAAAGGCAATGACTGAGCATGATTGATTGAATGCCTTCTGAATACTGAAAGATTAGATCCACGAGTCAAAGAATGAAAAATAAAAACCTATTTTCTAATGGTTTCTTTGTGCCGTTTTTAAAGGAAAATGTTTAAGGGATCAATTCTTTGAGTTTGGGTTACAATACTTACAATAGCATGGTAAGGATATTCTTTGTTGTTATCAATTTTAAATTCTTACGTAGTAGCTAGTTGGAATCTGATCAGTGGAAAATCTGGTCTATTGTCAAATGGGACATCTGACGGGGAAACGCTTGACCTGCCATCTCACTGACATTGTTATTATATGGCGACAGACTTAGGTAAGATGATAGAAACTCACAAGGTGGACTAAGAAAAATAATAAATAATATTTTTTAACCACAACGAGGAAGCTCTTGGCCTGTATCTCACCTGATGGTAAATGATGATCAGGCCGGAGGTGGAAGCGAGCTTCATCCGGAATCCTCAACCACGGAGGAACTAATAAATATCTTTGGGCATTTTACACTGCGCTTCTAGTCCCAAACTAAGCAAAGCTTGTACTATGGGTACTTAGACAACGGATATAAACATACTTAAATACTTTTTTTTTGTAAATACATACTTATTATACATAAAAAACACGCAGTGCAATACAAACAAATATGTTCATGCACACAAATGTTTGTACTGTGCGGGAATCAAACCCGCTACCACCGGAATAGTAATCCGTTTCGAACCACTACACCAAACGGCTAACCAAACAGAAAACTCTTCCCCCACTGGGAGTAGTAGCCGAGACCTCTGGGTCTGAAGCTGGAGGTCTTACCACTAGCTACACAGAGGCGTTTAGATAGAGAGATAAGATCCGCAACTAAAGGTACATACGGTCTGGAGTATTAGCACTATTCGTATGGTAGTTTACGTACTATAACCGGTATTCTTCATCCGATTTCTCTAATAGTTTTTTGTTATCTATATTTTGACGGATTCGGATCTGACGTGTGTGATATTTGTGTTCACACGACCCGTTGCCCTAACGTGTACGTTAAAAAAACAAATTCGTTTCAACCAAACCATGTTCAGCAGCTTTTAGTCCTTTATTTTTTGTAAACCTGATACCTTATTTGTTCCATCTATACCAAAGTTGTAAGCTCAAATATCAATAGAAGAAAATTAATATTTTATTGTAAGTACTCAGAGATATTGGATTACTCAGTAACTAAGTGATTCCTATTAATTTATTTTGAAGTAAATAACCTTAGTTACGTAATCTAAATTACTTCTTGAAATTGAGCCCCAATTTCTGATAGTTAAGTAGGTTAATTTCTGACATAGTAGCTAAATTAACTAGAAGTTAAGTTAATTATTTAGGCGGAAATCGAAATAGTATGGTAGCTTCTTTTAACTGGTTTAAATAGGTATGTTTATTAACTGATTAGGTAGGTACTTCTAAATTCCTTTATCGTTCGATTGTCACCAAGTCAGAATCTGATGATGGGATCCTGGGGAAATCGAAGGCAATCCTTAAATTTTGTCGACACCTTACATTTTTATATTAGGACAAACAACCATGACTCAAATTTTTGGAGTCGGAGCCGGTATTTTTTTAATAAGATGTTATTACATCTTATTAAAAAAATAACGCATAATAATAATATTATGCGTTAGATTATTATCTAACGCACAATTAAAATAAAAAAACTAATAAATACATCCTACATGTACGAGTATACTTATAGATACAACTTTTTTCGTGTACGTTTTCATAACAGTACAATATTAAAATTAACTTCAACATTCCCTTATCTTGTACATAAATCATCAAAGAGGAAGTTTCAGATAAAATGTGCCAGATAAGCAATTACGTTCGACGCATAAACAACGAGCAATATTGGGGAATCTAAAATATAATGTAGCAAATAAATTTAATTTACGACCGCTCCCGTGGCAATAAAGTGAAATACTTGGCGTACCGTACTGTGGGATGTTTAAAATTATCATCACATTGCGGCTTTATAATGTACCCTATGTGGCACGTTGACTTATGGGGAGAATTAGGTAATACTCCCCGTTTAACTGCGAATAAGGAAAATGGTGTAACTAAGTGAAAATTACAGAAAAATGGGAGACAATATTAGATTATGGGTAAAACAGGTTTTGTCCCGAATGTGTCACATTGCGGCTTTATATTGTACCTTATAATGTCACACGAAGATTTATGGCGAGAAGTAGTATTAATACTCCCCGTTTAACTGCGAATTGGGAAAACGATGTATTTATTTTTAATTGGTATGTTTTTTTCAGTGTTTTACAGGTTTTTATAATCTTAAGGTCACATAAAGAAAATTTAACCCAAATGACATAAAAAAGAGGAAGAATGTTGTAAACAAATAAAAATAAAAATGAGATAAAATTACGTAAAGTGATTCAATATTTTACAGGTTGTTGATTCCATGGATTGTTGACTTGGCAACGAGAAATTCGAATCCCCATGGACGTCACTTTAATAATTTATTCGTTATTTTATTTGCTAAGAGCAATCAGTAGTCATGTTTGAAGTTGTAACATAATGTTATTGGGGAATCTATAAATAGAATGTAGCGGGAATCGAGCAAATAAATTAAATTTATGACTACTTCCGGGTAATAAAATGAAATGATTGGCAAAGACTGTGGAATGCTATGCGGTGGTGAACATTGTTGTAACATTGTGTGACGTGTATGTCGACATTTGTGGATTGGGAATATGAAGCAATTTTAACATGGGTCTATTATTTCTTAATTAATTTGGGAACTGATCAAAACTTGCCTATACTCGTATAGCTACAGCCTGATTGGATTGGATATTTTTAATTTTTTTTCATTTGTTTTGTTGTCGCGGATATGTTTGCGTATTGAAATTAAACATTATTCAAGTCGAGAAGAGGCGTCTAAGGCTGCGTTTCCACTAGAGATGTGCGAGGATGCTTAGCGAGCGATGCGTTGTAAAGATCGAACTGACTAAGGCGGGAATTGAAACCACGACCCTTCGCTTGCCGGGCAACTGCTCTTCCATATTCTGAGCTACTTCGACACTGGATGAACCCGTTGAAATTTTCAAATGTATTACGCTGTTACGGCCAGAGATTTATTTAATATTTTTTTCAAATTAGTTTGAGATGCAACTCTTAACTGTGTCGTAAAAAAACCAATAGAATCCCTTCATTTACCTCGCCTCGCTGTGGAACCTGATGATGGTGCACTAATGATGATGATCATAATGACGATAATGACTTACCTGTATCAAACCTCGGCCTGCTGGGCAGTCGACTGGGCAGGTCTTGGTTCTCCACGTGGTCGAATGTTCGGAAGCCGAGCGCGAACTCCGCGTAAGGACTTATCTCGAACATTTCTAAACAAAAAAAAAAGACGAAAAGAAAAATACTAATTATTACAGAAAAGATAGGAACTTGAGAATTTTAGTTTCAAAGGAAAGTTCTAAAGCGAAAACCAATACTGTCTCAGTTACAATTTGAATTCGATATAATTATGTTTTGATGAAATCTAATTCCCAGACAGGGCAGGTCTAATCTTTAATAGAATAGTAAACAAAAAAAGTAATTTTCAAAAGTTTTTAAATAATTTTAATTTTTTGTAAAATATGTAAGTATTATAAAATTGTTTATTGCCTAATAAAAAATAGGAACAGAAAAACGTGGCTAAAACCCCAAATAAAAAATATGAGTGTAATATTTTTCTTTCTAACAAAAATTAAAAAGGTTTTTTAAGTGTTTGGATTTTATTTTATTTGGATAACATATAAATGATTTATATAAATATGTTATATATTACACAATATAAAAAACTCTATAATTTTTTTCCTCACCATTCTTGCTAGCCTTCCTCACGTGCGCGGGCGACGTGTATATTCGCGGCGCGTGCGCATACCGCTCCTTGTGCTCCGAGTGGGACGCCACGCTTTCGTTGCGGGACTTCACCTCGTCGGCTATGGAGTGCCGGTATTGGGACGAGTAGTTTTGCCTGGTGGGAGATTGGGAAATTGTAAATAGGGTAATGGGAACTGTGTCTGAGTTAAATTTTGTTCTACTCGTATGAATGAGTGAGCTGTAAAGATTGTATTTTTTGTGACTCTACACGTATCTACATAAGTCTATGCCTACTACCTGTGTCTCCTGAAGTCCTGACCTTACGCGTATTTTTGTCTACTACTGACCTTACTTACCTATATCTCCTGACTCGTACCTGTTTCCTGGCTTAACTTTATTCTCTGCCTACTTACCCATTTGACCCTACACGCATTTATGTTCTATGCCTTACTTACTTACGTCTCGTGACCCTTCACATGTATATTTTATGTCTAAACTGCCATGTCTCCTGCCTGAACTGAACATACATGTATCTATGTTCTATGCCTACTTATCTATGCTTTCTGCAGACTTTATATTTTAGTCTATATTCTTACCCTATGTCGGCCGACTCTAGACGTACATATCTATCTTTCTTGTTTTATCTTCAATTAACTTATGTCTCATAAACAAGTCTCTTATTCTATGTACTCACCGATGCCTCCTGAAGAGTATACAGAAGAATGCGAACAGGCAGATGACGAGCAGAATGGAGCTGCAGATGATGACCAGCATGTTCAGGTCGAACAGCTCTGATGGTGGACCGATTTCCTCTACGACAAAATAGTTTTCAATCTTTAATGTTTTCGAATTCAAATTATTAGTAGCCGGCTCTTTTAGGGTACTTATAGATATTACCATGCCAACAACTTACGCCTAGATAGATAGTTCGTTCGTTCGTTCGTTTTCAGCCAAATAGATAGATAGTAAGCGCACGAAAAGTGGGAAAACTTTTAGTAGACCATTCTGGTCTACTTAAAACTTTATTGTTTAGTTACATGTCTTAGTAATAACAAATAATAACATTTTATTACGATAAATGTGGATAAAAATCTCTATGAAAACTTTATTTCTAGCTTTTGCCCACGGCTTCACCAAAATCATAAAAAAGAGCTTTTACATTGCTATCGTGTTAAATTATTATTGATTCCCGATATATCCATACATTAACTCTCTGTCTGTTACCGTTTCAAGCTTATACCTATTATACCACTGAACCAATTTAGACGAAGACGATTGGCATAGAGAAAGAGATATTAGATACGAAATTCACGCGGACAAACCCGCGAGCAAAAGCTAGTGATTTTTTTTTTATTGAAATCATTTTAAGTGAAGTCCATTTCATTAAAGTACATTTCAATTTGTATTGAAGCTTTAATTCTCAAAACATAAATTCTAGTCTCTTTGGGATAAATAAAACTTGTTACAAAAGACTGAGAGTTCCTAAAGTTCTCAGTCTTAGAATTAATTAAGATTTAGGCTGAACCTTAATTAACCTATTTCAGCTTTCCATTGAAATACTTAAAGCTTTGGAAGGTATTCCGGGGAGGTCACTTTGTCACAATATTAATTAGATAGTATCAGATACGGAAGAAAAATATACATACAATGAGCAATATCTTTTTAAGCTTAAGTGATTTTAAATGTTTACAAAATCATAATAAAAAGGAAAATTACGTAAATGCTTCTTGCTTTCTACAAAGTTCTCAAATTAAACAGTACAGCAAAATCACTACCAATTCAAATATAATTGTTCGCAACTGCCGACTTGCTGACAATCAGCAATGCTGATCAGGAAGTTGGATCCTCCAAACTTTGGTTATTACCAACTGACAAAGTCAGCGAGCGCTGTCATTCATAAACTTGGAAATTAGACGATGATTATTATGTGTGGGGGGGGGGGTGCCTTGAAAATGTAAAGATTTCTTCCTGCTTAGAGCCAAAGCACACTTCCTACTTAGATGCGTTGCGGTGGTGGTGCGATTTCGGAGCGGTGTCGCTGCGTCGTCTTATATAGAAATGTTATTTGTGGCGGGCACACGAGCGGTGCAGCGAAATCTTTGCATCGTGTGCTTTGGCTCTTAGGATTGTTTTATTTATTCTTTACGCAGGACCACTAATAGTTTTGCTTCACTATAATATCGAAAGAATTGTGTTGTGTAATGCTGTCTGTTACACAGAATACTGCATCTGTACACCAAAGCTGCCGATCCGCCAGATATTATGAGTCATAGAGAAAGCATACGACGTATGGTCATTAGGGTGTTCCTTATATGACCGAAAAAAAATTTTTTTACATATTGAAATGCATACCCCCTATTTCTTTTCGTACTACTCAGACATACTTAAATACAAAATTTCATCTTCCTACGTCAACATTAACCCGTGCCGACCGAGCTCTGAAGATTTTGAAAAATTCTGGATTTACCCCTTTTTTTAAGTAGCTAAATCAATTAAAATATTTATTTTTTATAAAATATTTATAAAAAGAAGATAACATTACAGATCAGACAATATATTTTACTTTTGAGGGACCCTTTTTTACATTCTGGATACAGATTTCCATGCTCCTGAATATTGGCCTGATTTTTGCTACACTGTGCGAAGCAAAAAAAGCTTTTGCTCTTTCTTTGCAGTGATCAAACCATGAAAATCTTGCATAAGCTTTATAGCCCTTTCAGCTGTATCATTAACTACCCTTAAAGAAAGCACTTTTTTGCCTTTAAACAGGCAACATCTTTATCTCATATAAAATGTGTCTCAGGGGGAAATTATTTTCAATCGAGAAAATAAATTTATACTCTTGACAGACACAAAACCACTCAATGGTTTTCCAGCAACAATAAATAAGGCAGTATTATTATCAATTCATTAAAAACAGGATAAAAAATTAGTACAATGTCCTATTTACCATAGAAATAATCATACCTTCTTCAGATGGAATGTATCTCTTCCCAGAATCATACATACTCTCTCTTTGTACTTTTGCTACATGACGGTGTTTGTTCATTACCTTCATCATCAAAGAGTGATAAAACGGCAATTTCTTCTGATATGAAGTACCTACCAAAGATGTTGACTAAACTTGCTCAGGGCTGCCTTGGAAATCAATTTGTCAGCACTCTCATATACCTTTTGGAAAGTGGATGTCAAGAGTGCCTTAAGGCTTTCCTCAGAGCTGGTAAGCTGGTCGTGATGTCCTTGCGTTTGTATAGAATCTTAACGTGCTTGCGTAGTAAGAGATGACGATAAACCTCCGAAACATATTTGCTCTATTTTTTATTTATTTATTTAATTTTCTTTGCCTTGCACTTTCTACTCTCTTAACTAACTTTTTGTCTACACCTTAACACTCTGGACGCCTTGGTTTTATTTTTTTGTTAAAATATTTTATTTTGCAAATTATAAATAACTTGAAAAAATCGAACTGCCTAAGGCGGGAATTGAACCCACGACCTTCCGCTTGCCGGGCGACTGCTCTTCCAACTGAGCTACTTAGACACTGGATGAATCCGTCGAAATTTTCAAGTGTAATACGCTGTTACGGCCAGCGTTTGTTTCATCAATGTTGAGTATACCTACCCTACATCTAACAGAAATATTGTTGCAAACATTTAACTGTCAGTTAAGATGAAACAGCTCTTTTTACATAGTTATTTAATTTTTAGCGTTAAGAGTCGCATCTCAAACTAATTTGAAAATTATAAATAACTTGAAAAAATCGAACTGCCTAAGGCGAGACGCCTTAGCAGTCGCCCGGCAAGCGGAAGGTCGTGGGTTCAATTCCCGCCTTAGGCAGTTCGATTTTTTCAAGTTATTTATAATTTTCAAATTAGTTTGAGATGCGACTCTTAACGCTAAAAATTAAATAACTATATATTTTATTTGTTTTTAAATCCTCCTCACCGCGGCGCTTACAACTTTTTAAAATATTTTTTCTTGCAACTCCCTCCAAGCATGGTGAAGATACACAAGTTTTTTTAAACAGTTAGGCTCTGGTAGGATTTATAGCTTTTCCCAAAATATAATACACTCCCGAATGATGAGATTAGAGCTTTGAATAATATTTAATTAACTTCGCAAAATATGTTAAAAAAATACTGCAAAAACTTGACGATTAACGGTAACTTTGTGCCTATTATTTGATAAATTTACGTCCCCGACTAAGAAAATACTTTTTTTATTGCTTCTTAATTCCACAGCCATCTTCTAAATGTCAAACAATAGGTGTTAATCACGAGATTAATTGAGAACAAATGACAAATACCGCGAATACGCACCGCTACTGCCGCGCAACATGTTTCGATGCAAGTCGGCACGGGTTATCGTACTCCAAATAAGGTAAAAAATTATTTCCGAGTGTTTTAGAGGCAAACAAACAAAACTAAGACCTATGCGTTACAAATTTAAAACTTTGAAAAATAAGGGACACCCTAATGGTCATTTAACGTCGATATGATTCTTTTAAATAAAGCCGTCGACACCAAGCTTGGTGTGTATCGTCCTTAAAGCAACGGCGTCTTTATAGACGAAGAAATTAAAATAGTCTTAATAGTTTTTTTGTTCTATGCCTAATTGAAAACCAAAAAATTGGGCTAAATCAATGATGACGTCACAAGCCAGCATTATTGCGATGCCCTTTCGGTATGTGTCAAGATTTGCCAACAATTTTAAATTAGAGTGCTCAAAGCGGGCTTAAAAAGCTTTGAATATTTCGTGCTTAAAATTAAAATGCTTAGAATATTCTAAGATAATATGATCTCGGTTCTATTTTGTTGGTTTACAGGAGAGGAGACACATTTGGTGTTGAGGGTCGTTTTGCTTAAAATAGGACACGAAAAAAAGGTATGTTTTTCTCTGTTTATGTAACTTAATTGTGTCTTAGAAACCAATTACTTTGTCAACAACGAAGTAAATATATTTTCTAAATTACCCAATCGAGTTACGTATTTCATTATGTTGCGTAATATTTACCCTATTTTTAGGATTTCAATAGATAATAATGATAGTACCCCAATTTTATCAATCAAATTGATTATATTAAGCCTATTTGTGTTGAGACAAATCTGGAATAAGTAGCCCGTTCATTATTCCATTATGGATCTGATAAACACCAATAAAAAACACCGGGTATCGTTAAAGTTACGGTTAATGTTAGGTGGTACAACCCAGCCTTATACTACTAAAAGGGGCGAGTCGACAAAAAACAGTACCTGCATAAAACGATGTCTCCATTTAATAATCCTAACCTAGACCAAAAAAATGAAACTCACCTCCATCCAGCGTCTTCGTAGCATAAGTATAGATGGTAGAAGCGGTGCCTGCATCGTTCGTCGCAGTCACTCTTAGCTGGTACCAGTTGGCGGGAGCAAGAGAGCCGACCGCGTACGAAGTGGGGATGGACCGCAGAGGGGGGGCCTGGTAGTGACCCTCGATGTAACTCCAGCCGAGGTTGAGGTCCATGGGCTGGACAAAAAAGATCGAATAAGAAGGAATAAAAACATGACCCTCCTTTTGCAAAGTCATCCAAAAGTAAAGACTTTTTGGTACTTTTATTTATTTTATCGAATTTCAGGTTTTTCACAGTATCCTAAATTCTGCTAAACTTGCATTTTCTCACGTCTACTACAGTTTTCCGTCATGTAAAAGTAATACGCTGCGCGCGGTCCTATTTACTATTACTTATTCTGTGGCGCGGTTTTATAATCGGCACTTGTGGATAATTTACTTCGTTCATAGAGAAATACGCACGCACAGTAAACTACAAAACTTATAGACATTATGGAGGGCGAAAAGAAGCCTTAGTTAGCCTTTAAAACATAAGGTATGCATACTTTTTTTTTTTAAATATAACGTTAAAAAAATTGGCAACTGTTGGCATTTTCACCCTGTATAGTGTACGCTCTTTGTTTTAATATAACTTTTGCATAGTGTTACTCATAATATTTTGTGAAAAAAAAAACTTCCATAATGTCTGAATGGGGAATAAAACTGTTATAAAAGTATTTCATTACCCATAAAAACGAGCCTCGTAAAATAAACTTACCTGTCATAAATTCTACAAAAAATTAACCATACAGTAAGTGAAGCCATTTATTTTTGTTGAAATATAGCATGTATTACAATGATAAAAGGTGCATATTAAACGACTTGATATGCCGTTTTCTGTAGTCTAAATACGAGTATACATAACTCGAAGGTGACTGACTGACCGTTTGACTGACTGACATAGTGATCTATCAACGCACAGCTCAAACCACTGGACTGAAATTTGGCATGCAGGTAGATGTTATGACGTAGGCATCCGTTAAGAAAGGATTTTACGAAACTCCACCCCTAAGGGGGTAGAACGGGATCCACGCGTACGAAGTCGCGGGCGGCCGCTAGTCTGTAATAAGGTTATCGAATACCTACTCCATATTGGTTAATGTTTGCCAAACGTTTGCCAAATACAAGGCAAACATATTGACGTAATAAAGTGATATTGGCATCAATTCAAGACACTTAGGGAGAAATGTAGGCATTTGGTATTCGCTCTAATAAATGTCAATGTAAATAAAGGAACTTTAATCATTTTACGGAAGAAAAGCTCATAATTTTTCGGTTCTATAAAAATAGAGCCTAAAAATTACAAAAGTACTACCTACCTATTGTAATCAAATAAAAAACTAACTTACTGAGGGTCATTTTCACCAGAACTAATGTTTGTTTCATGGTATTTTTTATAGATAAACCTTTATATTTTGTGCACTTAATAAATGTGACCTTTGAACATCAAATTTTCATGTAAGTATTTACCTACTTCCCAAACAGTTATTCCTTATTCATCTATCATTTATCAAATATCCATTATATTATTTTAGTAAAGATACTTGTNAAAAAAAAAAAAACCCAGTCAGTTCCGCGTTTTCTCCTCAACAAGCTACAACACCAAGCTCTCGCCACTGCTCCGAGGAACCGGTCACAGTCTCAACCACAACCGAGTTATCATTTCTGCGCTCCCCGCCCCCTTCGTCTCGCTCTCCCGCTCGCGCTGCACCCCGCATCGCGCCGTGTCAAGGCGTACGGTATCAAGGGTCCGCACAGGGTTGCAACCCCATACCGTCCGGCACAATACTGAAGATAAAATGCTCTAGAACTTGACATAATAAGTACAATGTTCAAGGCACGAAGACGCAATATGAAAAAAAAACGAAACTTATTTTTTTACGACCGCCCTATATTTTTACGTCACATAAAAATCACCAATCAAACTCACCGCTTTATTGTCAGTTCGGATCCAGTTCGAGGATCCTAGAGGCCTGTACTCCACCTCCCACTTGGTGACGTCACAGCCACCATCGTCCCAGCCACTGAGCTGGATGTAGATATGGGTGGCGTTGCTCCAAAGCCAGTCGGTCGATGGTGGAGAGATCGGAGCTGTGGAGAAGCGCTGGTTTAAAATAATGCTCCATAAAAAGCTTAAGAGAAAATGTAGTATGGACAAGTCTTTTCCTGGGATAATCTTCACTGGTTGGGTTTTTATTGGCAGTCATGCTTTAGATCCTGGCTACACAGGAGTTGCAGCGGTGGGATAGGTGAGGTGGGAATAGTCCCGTAAGCCCCCCACTAGGTGGACCGACAATCTGGTGAGGGTCACGGGAGGTGCCTGGATGCAGACCGCTACCAACCGTGGATGTGGAAGTCATTGGGGGAGGCCTATGTTCAGCAGTGGACGTCCTGTGGCTGAAATGATGATATAACGTAACGTCAGGCTTCTCCATTAGAATCAGTAACTAAGTTATAATTTTTTTGCTACAAGAATTGAACAAAATAGCGCTAGTAACAACTTTTTGATTTTCACGTCCCTATAAACTCATCCACGAAGTTTCCAAGAACTTAATTTTAAGATTGATGCGCTAACGAATCTCATTAATTAGTTTGGCTCGATTAGAATATTACAATATTCATCACTAAGCCCTAACGAGTTAAGTTTTTAAGGAGATTAACATGAACCTAATCTATTTCTTTGAAGCGCAATAAATTCTAAAGTTAATCTGAGGGCAGCGACGCAATTAATTATGAGCTTGAACAATCGTAAACACGTCTGTTTTTATAGAATACTAGCTGACCCGGCGAACTTTGTTCCGCCTTATCTTAGACTTTTTTTTATTTCGAACGGGATAAAAAGTATCCTATGTCTTTCTCCTGGCTCTAAACTACCTCCCTGACAATTTTCAGCTAAATCGGTTCAGCCGTTCTTGAGTTATAAGTGGAGTAACTAACACGACTTTCTTTTATAATAGACTAGCTGACCCGGCGAACTTTGTTCCGCCTTAATGGCAATAAATAAGCAGACTTTTTTTTAATTTCGAACGGGATAAAAAGTCCTATCCTATCCTATGTCCTTCTCCTGGCTCTAAACTACCTCCCTGACAATTTTCAGCTAAATCGGTTCAGTCGTTCTTGAGTTATAAGCGAAGTAACTAACACGACTTTCTTTTATATATATAAGATAGAAGACTAGCTGACCCGGCGAACTTTGTTCCGCCTTAATGGCAATAAATAACGGGATAAAAAGTATCCTATGTCCTTCTCCTGGCTCTAAACTACCTCCCTGACAATTTTCAGCTAAATCGGTTAAGCCGTTCTTGAGTTATAAGTGGAGTAACTAACACGACTTTCTTTTATAATATAGAAGATTACATAATTATAGATCTAGAACTTAAAACTCAATCAGTGCCTGAGATATAGAAGCGGCACGGGACGTTTGAGGCGTCAAACGTCAGCGAGACTTCACATATGCTTCAGTGGGTCTAGACAAAGTGCAAATTATAATCGCAAACCAGTCGAAAAGTGGTCGAAAAGCCCCTTTTTTGTATGGAGTTTTGACGGATTCGATTTTAGATTCGATCAAAAAGTGCGTTTTGTCTAGGGGGGCAGATTTGTATGATCTGTCACGTCATAATATGTCAATGTCACTCCTCCCGTGCCGCTCCCATGCCACAGGCACTGACTGATTTAAGCAAGCGCTAGACAATATTAAATAGACCCGTTAACCCCTTGTAGTAAGCTAAATACGCAAGTTATTGTTTAGAAAACCTAATATACTCGTACCTATCTATGTGTTCTGACCACACGGTGCATCTTATACCTACCTAACTCAGAGATCACGTTATTGTGGGATACATGGACCTATGTGGGATATCTATATATGTAAAAGAAAGTCGTGTTAGTTACTCCACTTATAACTCAAGAACGGCTGAACCGATTTAGCTGAAAATTGTCAGGGAGGTAGTTTAGAGCCAGGAGAAGGACATAGGATACTTTTTATCCCGTTCGAAATAAAAAAAAGTCTGCTTATTTATTGCCATTAAGGCGGAACAAAGTTCGCCGGGTCAGCTAGTAAATATATATAAATAGGGACATTTAATGTCTGCCTTATTAATGTTTAATTGTTTTGATGTCTTAAGGGTTGTAATAATTTACCCAAATTAACTTATATTTAAATTTAAACACTAAGATTGTGTAACCTGAGCGCTGCATGTTCAATCATGATTATTATTTTTAGGCATGGTTGAGGATGCAGCGCTTATTGGTACTCATTACCTGATAAAATGTAATAATGTACGAACTTATTTAAGCAGCTAGGAAACTCTTTAATTGGCTTAGATTTAATGCTCATCAAACTAACATGAATATTGTAAAACAGCTGTTGAGTTTCTGAATAAATAAATAAATGAATAAGTTATGAGTAGGTCAACATCGAGACTAAAAGTGACAATTTAATCCAATGGCAATTTCAAATTGTTACTCAATACATTTCTCAGTAGGTAATTAATATTCTGTGATTAAGTTTAAGAGAGTTGTCAGCAACGTGGTTCTTTTGCTGTCCTGTTTTAAAAAGAAAAATACTTTGTTAATAATTGCCTTTGATAAAAATGAGAATAATTTTTAATCCATTTATTTATTTTCAAGTATTTTTTCCATTATTATTACATTAATTTTCTAGTGATAGTAAACATGCTCTCGCCATGACGATGGCAACTCTTAAACTTGGTTTTAAGTAACTCGTTTAATGACAAAATCCGTCCTAAATAAATTGAAATCCAGACAGATCCTATAAAATTTATACAGACGGGCAAACTCGGAGAAAACTTGGTAAGCTACTTAGTACAAACAATCCTACAAAATTTCGCTGACTCAATCATTTCGAATGTAAGTTAAGGGCTTAATTATACTTAAAGACTTAAGTTCAGTTCAATTTGTTTACTTTGATAATGAGGTCAGTAATGTTTCCGAAGTTTGGGAATAAATCTAACTGCGGATATTACTCAATTAATTTCAATTAAGATAAATCAGAGTCCTTGACCCAAGTGATTGGAGGCCGATTTACAAATAACACTAAATAATAATAATGTTACAAAATAAATGAGATCCGAAAATATCTAATTCGAAAGAAAAGTTAATTAAGTTTTCACGCTTATGAGCCAATGCACACGATGCGTTGCGGTGGCGGTGCGACTAGGGTTGTCAGGCGTCCGGCTTTAGCCGGACATGTTTGGCTTTTTAGGGTCTTGTCCGGCCAAATATTGCCTTGTCCGGCCTGTCCGGCTTTTGTTAGGCTTTTTATTTGGTTGCCGCGCCAGGCGAAAGTCGAGCCACATAATCATAATTATGAAGCGCACGCATCAGGATGTTGGTTAGCAACCGATGATGATAGTACTCACTCATGAGCTGACACTAATTGCACAATTGCACCACGGAGCAGTGTCGCTGCTTCGTCTTGAGCTTTAACCACACCAACGCGTGCAGATCGCCATCGCAGGCGCGATCAAAGGCCAATGACAGGTCGCGCGACCCATGACAGTCCGCGCGATCTGTCATTTCCCTATGATTGCCCCGTGATCGCGCCGGCGTTGGAGATCTGCACGCGTTGAAAATGAAGCATTACATAGAAGTGTGGCGGGCTCACGAGCAGTGCGCATGGCGAAATCTTTGCGATGTCCCGCCACAACGCATAGCGTTAATCAATTTTGACGAATTTTCCTATCGGGAAAAACCTAAGACCAAGGAGAAAAATATTAGACCTTTAATGCCAAAATGAATCTTACAGAAGATGAGTAAATAGGACATGAATGTTGTTTGTACGAAGTACAGTCAACAGTCAGTGACACCCAAAGTATCCAAAAATCGCAACACATCTTTGTTTCAATTGGAATAAGGTTGGGTTGTCAACTTTTTGGCTACTTTGAGAGTCACGTACTGTTTTAGGCTACCGTACCGGTAATAATTTCTCAAGAGACCTGGATTTTGATCTTTTGAAGCACAAATATTTTGTTTTTAAGCCGACAAATTTCCAGGTCTAGATATTTTAAGCAACAATCACATTAGGATACTTTAACTGATTGGCAAAGTCAGAATGGACGTACCTAGCCACTTTCATTAAAAGTATCTTTATTTCGAGCAGAGGTAATGGAATTAAAAAGCTTCATAAGCTCGTCTAAAAACCGCTTCATGTTTATCTCCATTTTATAATTAACTAGATTAGTTTTCGTTCAAAGCGATTTTAAGTGCTATAAAATAGAATTAAATAGTAGAGGAAATATGGAAAGGCTTATAAAAAGCTTTACGTTCATAATTATATTGATGTTGGATGATTGGGATTTAACCACAAAACCTATTTAATATTTCGCCACACGGTTAGATTGTAGCTTCCATATTTAATGTAATATTTATTTAATTATAAATGCGAAAGTAGCTTTTCATGCTTAAACTGCTGAACTGACTGACAAGGCTTCCATCACCGGGGAACCAGACGCAGGTTAGCGTACCATCCCTACATTGTCGACATTCCACCAGCTCGCACAAAGCGTTCCGACAACTCTTTTATAATGCGAACAGCTAGGGACTGGAATTCGCTGCCTGCTGCTGTCTTTCCTGAATACTATAATCCGGGCTTTGTCAAGGCGAGAGTGAATAGGCACTTACAAGGCAGAAATGTAGATACCATTCTAGACTGCATCTCACTTAACTTAAATTACTGCCTTGTCTTGCATAAAAAAAGCAATTAGTCTAAGATCCTGGGACCATTTCCAAGGACATAGCTTAGATTTTACCCCAAAAATCAACCTTCTATTCGAAGGGTGCTGAAAAGTTGTATCGACACTTGCCTCCTCCCAAAGTGATGACGTCAGCATGCGCCGGCACCGACGTCCCGATGCTGTCGGTGGCGGTGACCCTCACGGAGTATTTGGTTCCGCACTTCAGCCCGGCCAGGGTGTGTTGCTGGACGCCAGGCAGCCTGGTCTCTCGGGCCACTGGCCAGGCCTCTTGCCAGAGGCCGTCGCCTTCACGCCAGGTTAGATTGTAACCTAGGGCAACATGTAGTCATCATCATCATCATTTCAGCTACAGGACATCCACTGCTGAACATAGGCCTCTCCCAATGATTTCCATATTGCCCAGTTGGTAGCGGCCTGCACCCAGCGCCTTCCTGCTACCTTTATGAGGTCGCCGGTCCAAGGAATCGAAAAAGTAAGGCTTTGTAGATATAGCGATGACTCTCACTCGGTGGACAGGCGATCTGGTAAAGGTCGTGGAAAGCGTTGTTGCAACCAGTTGAGGAAATTCTTGGAAGACTTTGTCCAACAGTAGACGTTTCAAGAGACATCTTCTAGATTATTAAATTGAATTAAATTAGTTTAATCAGGCGTCAAATGTACTTACATTTGACGCCGATTTGATTAGCTTACGCTAATCTGTCTTATGACAATAAATTATGTATGTTTTGGTAAATGCTTACTAAAGTCTATTAAAAAGTATATCGTGAAAATTTATTTTGTGGGATATTAAAATTAAAAAGGCCTATTTTGGAAATTGTAGAGCAAAAATACAAAAAATTACAATTGTACTTCTAATGTCATACTCACTGATACCCAAATTCGAAGTGTCATTCCCATAAGGTCTGATCTCATCCCATTCCACCACAATGTAGTCCTTATACGGGGTAGCCCTTATAGCTGGAGGGTCTGGCAAGGGCAGGACTCGAACCGTGTACACCACCGAGTCGGAACCGTATAGGTTCTTGGCGAGACAGGTGTAGTTGCCGCTCAAAGCTTGGTCTATACCTGGAGGAAATATTCTTGAGGTTTACAAATTATTTAAGAGAAATTAAAAAAAAAATGTACACGTCGCGAATTGATAGAGCGTGACTTTTTTGGCTTCTACATTGTGTATACTAGGAGTCTATTAAGTATACGTTGAATTGTGAAATCAGAAAAATAATGATTTTGAATAACAAAAGTTAGACAGTATTTATGAGCGCTTTCACATTTGGGCGATTTAGCAGCGCGAAAAACGCGCGACAGACGCGCGACAAACGAGCGACAGACGCGCGAAAATTTCATACTATGTGACAGCGGATGCATGCCTTCACATTATAAAAACGCTGCTGCCGCGCTTCTAACGCCATAATGTGAAAGTGCTCTAACTGTAGTTTTTATGGTCTCATATAACAAAAGTAAGGAACAAAAATCTAGCACATCACCGACTATAGTTTCTCCAATTCTTTACATGTGTGGTGGCTAGCTACAGTTCATTTTTCAAAAGTTTAAGTTATTTTTATTTAATTTTATTTATTTTTATTAACTAACAACAAAAAGTTCGGCTGGGTCATCATGGTCAAATGCCATCTTACATTAACAATAATAAACATCAAAAGTCTGTCAAACTCCATAAAAAAAACACCGGTTATTAAAGTAAGGTGGTGTAACTCAGCCTTATTGTCGCTCATTACCACTTACTTTTGATCAGCAAGCTGTCGTCCCGGTTCCTGGTAAACCTGGGGTGGTGGGTGATGATGTTCTGGTTGTGGTACCACACGGTCCTAGGAGGGGGGGAGCCGACACTCTTGCACGCTAGGAGGAGGGAGTTCCTCACTGCTACAGTCACTTCTCCTCCTAATGACGCTACGCCTGCCACAACTGGTGGAAAACAAAATGAAAGTAAGTAGTCAAGTGCTCTCTTAAAGTTGTTTCCAGAAAATATATTAAACTATAGACTGTGCGACTGGCACCCGCAGTGAGTGTGCGAGCGCGCGATAGCAACATAATTACGCGCGAGCGATAAGAATGGGTAGCTAGGGGTCATTGGACAAAATTCTACGTGCTCAACTGCTCACGGACCGGGCTTTAGATAGGAAGCTTTTCCCAGTAAAGATGCATAATATTACAATAACGTATCAGTGTATATGAGTGTCTTTGCACCTGCAAAAAATAAATTCTGAAGATTGTGTGCATCGCTTATTCTTTTATTTAATTACACATGTTTTAATACCTACAAACCTACATACGTATTATTTTGCCTTTGTCTTTGGGATTTCATAACGAGTATAGTCCTAAAGTCCTAAGTCTTCAAACTTCTTGATCTCTCATTTTTACTAGCATATTGAAGTATCTACGTCCCTCCAAAGAAAAATCATTTACCTCTCTGTGAAGGAGTGTTAGTGACTCTCCTGCTCTCAGGTCCTTCGCCGATGATGGTGCTGGCGGTGACCCACACATCATACTGTCTGCCTTCGTTCAGCCCTTTCAGTTCTACTGTTTGAGTCTTCTCATAAGCATCAGTCGTTTGCTGTGCATCTATCCGAAGGGTTTGGGGGCCGTCGTTGCTAAAAAGAGTTGTTCACTTCAGTCGCAATGGAAAACTTTGTTATGATTATGCAGAATTTTGATATGGTGAACAAAATACAATATTTATTTATTTATACTTCAGTGAAAAATTATAACATTAGGCGAACTTAATGCCATAAGGCATTCTCATCCAGTTTACCTTTGGGTTATGCAGAAAAATTAGTTACTTTCTGTCTATATCTAATGAATTAAGTTGGAAGATAATTATTATATATAATAGATAATTCAATCTTCAACGAAACTTTAGGTTGGATTGCACCATCATACTTTAACTTTAAACAAACAAACAAGTTTAACGTCAAAAGTATATAAAACTCTATCCAAAAACACGTGTTATGGTTAAAATTACAACTGAAATAAAGTGGTGCAACTCAGCGTAACATTGATTTTAATGATAGAAACTTTATTATGAAAGATCATAGTTCACCTGCAATGAGCTGAAATAAACTATTATAATAAATATTGTTGGCCAGAATAATCCCAAAACAGTCTAAAAGTAAAAAAGATAAATATACTTAGAAATGATTTTATTCCATTTAATGAATATTAAAATGAGTTCTTCTACGTTTTTATGACACTAATTTGGAAACTTTTCGAATAATTAAAAGTTTTAGTCACGAACATCTCTCAACACGATTTTCATAATCACGTTGGAAATATAATTGGTTTCTTTCGTAGCCTTCTTGGAAGTTCCAACGTGAATATTTTAATAAAAATAATTAAATTAAGGAACTTAAAAAAAAATATTGGAATTTAATTTGTAAATACAAATCTAAGGTCTATTCCACTTTGATCACCTGGCTTTGTTCACCCAGGTGATCAAAGTGGACTCCAGTAATCCAGTTACATTACCTATTATAATTATTTTAGTGTCGTTTGATCACCTACAAACAAATCACACCTCCTCTGAATAGTCACATGTCCAATTGTTGTACTTACATATTTTGTTTTGTAACATTTTTGATATTTTCTAAAAACCGCATAAAACAGATCACCTGGGTGATCAGAGTGGACTTGGGACGGGAAAGGTCGTGGGTTCAATTCCCGCCTTAGGCAGTTCGATTTTTTCAAGTTATTAATAATTTAGAGATACTTTGTCTACCACCTTATTGGAGGTTCTGGCATGCGATCCTATTGTTACGCATTAAAGAAAAATACTATAGGAAATATAGGAGACAGAAACACAAACATTGATTCTTACCTTGCAGTGGGTTTACAATAAACTGTATAATGTAGCAGCCTGCCATTCGGTTGTCGTGGTTTTTTCCAACTGACCAGTAATATGTTTGAAGATTGCGATAGGAGCTTGATTTCTGCTGGGGCGTCAGGAACTAAAACATAGTAATATTATTAATAAGGGTTCCAAACAAAATTATTCATATTCATAAACACCTACACCATTTTAACATTACAGAAAATTATTAGTTCAACCTTTAAAATAGATGGAGAGAACACACTTATTGTACACCACACAAGACAAAAAAGAAAAAAAGAGACGTCACAATTTAAGGAAATAACACACTTATCAACCCGGAAAGGGTTCGTAACCGTATGAACTCGAGAGTTCTTATTCTTCGTATGAAACTCCATACTGCAACGCACACTTATCCGCACCGTAACGTAAACGCCTCGCTTCGCGGTTGACAGCGCGCGTAAGGCGATGACAGCTCGCAAAAGGCGATTGATCCCTTTCCCAGTTGATAAGTCTGCTTTGACCTTTAGGCCTTTCAAAATGTTAAGCCCTTAGTAACAGCTGTTATGTAATCCCTTAGAATTTCTCTCCGTGATTATTGTCAATACTGATATCGTCTGAATAATCTAAACGCTCTAATATTAATTATTTGTGGCCAATTACCTGCGGTTCATAGCCGTGAACTGAATAGTGACAAATGTCAAATTGTCTACTACACTTTGATATTAGCCAAAAGGCTGATAAGCGATTGTCAAATTGTCAATCTGAAGAGATTTCTGTGGGTCTAGTCAAAATGCCATCGCAAACCAATAGGAAGTTTTCACTAATGTCAGTCGTCGCGTCACCAGTAATTCGATTCGATCGGAAAATGGCAGCCAAAATGCACATTGAACCACCAACGACGCGGCGATATAAAAGTTCATTCAAAATCGAATAAAAGTTAAAAAATGTCTATGACTTTGCGATTGTTTTTACTTTTTCTAGCTTTTTTTTTTAATTAGTTTCTTCTTTCTTTCTGCTCTCTGTTTACGTCTATGCTTCGCCGTCAAACTAACTGTCAAAACGACATCGCGATATGGATTTGTCAAAACAGCCTTAGGGTGGGTTGCACCATCTTAGTTTAACTTTGACAAACGTCTAAAATCTGTCAAACTCCATACAAACAACTCCGGTTAACGTCATAGTTACGGTCAAAGTTAGGTGGTGCAATTCACCCTATTGGTTTTCGATCGAATCGAAGCTTATCACCGGGGTTTTAGTAATCGCAATGAAAATGGCGGGTGTTGCGATTCGATTCGATTTTGATTGAGTCTTAAATGCATGTTGGCTAAGCCTTTGTATGGGAAATTTCAATCCAGTCTTTCGATTATCGATAGGTAGGGCTTTGCGATTCGATTTTTTGCCGTTTGACTAAGCCTTTTTTGTTATCGACCTCTTTTGCGATTTGTTTATTTGTTTGCGACTGGTTTGCGATGAGTTTGCGATTTTAAAGTGCGTTTTGACTAGACCCGCTGAAGTTTCCCTGACTTTTGACGTCTTAAAAACACCCTCTCTCTAGACCTATACTAAGTTTAGCGTCAGTTTCATTGTTATACCCGTGAAATTAAATATTATTACACCAATAGCATGATCTTCAAAGTACTTAAATACTAAAACGTAGCAACAAACCAACAATGTAATCACCATACAGAACTATCGCTATTCAACACAGATTCTCGTGAAATCTCAAGCACTAAAACTTGAGAATTCACATTACAGCAGGAGCCATTACAATACAAATTAAACTCGATTGTAGCCGGTAACGACCAATATCTTAGTCACAATTCCAGTTTGGGAACGCTAACTGGAACTAGGGCTGCCATCCGTCCGGGTTTCCCCGGATTCTCCTAGTTTAGCATCCAGTGCGTCCGGACAGGGTTTCATTTGTAGTTCGGGCTTAAAAAAATTAACTTTAGGCCTGATTTGTCGGCGCGGCAGCGGCACGACATTCTGCACGCTCAGCATACGCGGTACCGAAAGCTAACTAAGTAACTAAAATATACTCTGCTAGCTTTCCGCCCGCGGCTTTGCCCGCGTGAATTTTTGTCTGTCATAGAAAAACTTAAACGCGCGCGTTCCTGTTTCAAAAATCGGGATTTGGCATGTCTGGGTTGTGGCCTCCAAAATCCGGGGTTTTCACGCGTCTTGTCCTGATTGCAAAATGTTAGAAGTGACAACCCTAACTGGAACTTACCGTCTTGGAGTGTTGAACAGACAATGGGGAAGGAGAACGGCCCCAGCCCGTAGTTTGAGAAGCCAGCCACCTAAAACAAAATACTAATGAAGTCACAAATGTAAATATTGAAGAAAAATATAACATTCCACTTTGGCGTTACAAAGATAACTAACAAGTTTCTTCCGGCACTTCTCAGTACTAGTTGTTCTGAAGTGGTGGGACTTGGGACGTATTTGGAACGAGGAGTAAGCCAGCCACCTAAGATTAAAGACATATTCTTCAGAATGGAACTGTAATATTCCACTTTGGCATTACAATGATAAGAAAGTTTCTTCCACCACTTCTCAGCACTAGACACTAGTTGTTCTGAAATGGGACTTGGGACGTATTTGGAACGAGTTCAAGTGTTTGAAAAGGGACTAAATAAAATAACGAATTGTTAGTGGCCCTAAGCCACATGAGTAAGATTCAGTTTCTTTAGGTTCTCTGTGGCTAAACCACATAAAATAAGTAAAGTACCTACGTTGGTACTTTGCTCATTCTAGTTATATGTAGAGAACGATATACGAGAAAGAGTAGGAGCGAAACATTCATTTACTTAGTTAATTAATGTAATGTGCAATGATAAATCTACTAATTTTAAATCGTTACTTACCTTTACAGTATAGTTGGTGAATTTCATCAAGCTTTGAAGCCGTAGTTCAGTGACTAGTGACGTAGCATTCATCCATTGCCGACCTGTTGAAAAAAACCTTGGTTAAGCACCAAAATACAAGGGTTAATTTATAGTGGCAAATGGTTTAGAGCCCCAAAAGGTTAACACCACTTTAACTAAAACACTTATTTCTTTTCAGTACAGTGAAATTAACATTTTTGTAAGTATCAGAGAGTGATAAAGCATTTTTAGGTAAATCGATGGATTTCATATTTTTTGAAATGCAGACATTTGTCCCCAGCCGCCCCCGAAAATTTTCAGCCCTAGGTTACAGCCTACTTGTCGTGTTGTCTTGTTCTGGAGTAAGGGTAAATTCGCCACAGTTGGATAGGGCTAGCAATTTATTCGAATAATAAATCTATATCAATAAAAGCGAAAGGTCACTGACTGACTCATTCACTCATCACGAAATCTCAGAAACTACACGTGCTAGGAGTCGCGAATTTTGCATGGGGGTTCCTTTTAAAACGTAATTGCTTACTAAGACGTGAATTTCCAAAATTCAACCCCTAAGAGGGTAAAACGGGAACCACGCGTACGAAGTCACGGGCGGCCGCTCGCGCTAGTTATATGGTAAACGCGAATGCAAGTTGCAAATAATTTCCAATCGGTTCACAGTTGTAAGCTGTTCTCTCTGGTCTGTGGGTTTCAACCAGAACCATCCGTTCCTAGTTCAGCCACAAGGGACATACTCAGCTGCGACTTGTGTCCAGTGCTATTTGAATAATTTGTACAGCAGCACATCAAGCTAACTCTGTGGCATCTTATTTATTTGTGACAAGTGCGATTTTGCAACAAAATTGTATAGTTAGCTCGAAGTGATTGTGATATCGTAGTAACTAATGAAAGTTTAGCGCAGCAGTCACTGTTTACTTTTGCCTAATGTTAAAGAATGTTTCAGTCTGAAGTGGGTCATCCATCATATCTGAACCCTGAACCGTTGCCTTGAACGACAATGCTCATACATATTCGAACTTATTTTACTTTGAACTGACTGCAGACCACAACCAGTGTGGAAAAGCCTTAAATACCTACTATTTGATGTCACCGAAACTTCAACTTGTAAACTCGCACCGTTCAAATTGAAAAGGAAATAACACTTCCGGCAACGAGCGAACGGTTATAACAAGAAAGTTTGTATTTGTGTTCAAAATATAAAAAGAATAAGCGAGAAAATGTGTTCATTTCTTGGTATACAGTAGCTTGGTAGAATAAGAATAAGAATAACTTTATTTGACACAAAGAAAACAAAAAACAGAACAAAGGGACTTAAAACTATACACGCATATTATTTTGTGCCAAAAAGGCGCCCGCAAAAAGGTAGAGCATTTTGTTGCAAAACTGCACTTAATTTATAAGATCAACGGAATAGTAAGTGACACCCAAAGTGGCCAAAAAGGTGACAACACAACCTTATTTCAATTGTAACAAAGACGTGCTGTGTACTTATTAAATACAACATTTTCACCACCCTCTCTCTACCATTCTCGTGCGTCTTCCTTCTTTTTTTCAAGCAAGAGCTGAAAATCAGTGTTCAGCTCATTTTTAGAGCAGTGTCTACACTGAGCTCTCTGCTTTTTTGCATCGCTGCGGCACACTTACACCTTAGCGCAGGATTTATATCTTTCTTGCTATTCCTGTGTTTAATAATCTTACTTTTTGCTTATTGTGTGTCAATGTGTTTTGCAAATAAACCTTATATCTATCTATCTACTTCGGTGTCACGAACTATTTGACGCTGATTATACTTACCATTGTGATTGTTGTAGATATATGTACTGTAATAACTAAAACACATTTTGTCTAGATTTCAGATTAGGTGATCGTATAGGTACGTCACATCATCATCTTCATTTCAGTCACAGGACTGCTGAACATTGGCCTCTCCAAATGATTTCTAGATTGACCGCTCCGTAGCTCTACAGGGTGTTAGGTAAATGGGTATATGAGCCGACACTAGCCCATGTTAACATATGCATATAAATGGTATGGTGAAGTCAGAAAATTGATATCATAATTTTAATTATTTAAATTTTCATACAAATCTGATTTTATAAATTTTATTTTGTATGAACATTTAAAAAATTAAAATGATGATATCAAATTTCTGACTTCACCATAACATTTATACAGTGTGTCCGGGCATGTAGTGATCAAACTTTAAGGGCGTAATCTATTGACAATTTTATCGATGAAAATACTTCAAATTTGGGGCCTGACCCATTTCTTGAAAAATTACATCGATTTAAGTTTTTAATTTTTAATTTACACCTCTTCTTTAAAAAACAAGTGAAAGCGTGGGTAGCTTAACATTAATAGGCAAATATTTTATATCATGCGATAGCCAATAAAATCTGGGGGCACGGCAGTGCCCCCACCAAGTCGAGCAAAAAAGCGGCACGGCCGTACCATCCTTTTCTCGAAGCAATTCAGGCCATTTTCGACCGCCTGTAACTTCGTTGTGGATAAAACTAGAAGGCTGAATTTTCATTAGCTATGCAGGAATTGTAAAGACACGGTATATTTAAAATTTCATTCAATTTGAACCAGTAGTTTAAGAATTATAACGGGTCAAAGTTACTTAATTTTGTCACTCACTGACTCACTGACTGACTCACTGACTGACTCACCGATCATCAAAACTCTAAGGCACTTCTAGCAGACCTAGAAGCTTCAAATTTGGAATATAAGTAGTGTTTGGTGTATGAATCAAGGAAAAACTAAAATATTTGGGGGCACGGTAGTGCAACCGCCAAGTCGAGTAAAAAAAAATAAAACCGACTCCAAAAAACAAACACTAAAAAGTAGAAAAATAATTACCTACTAATTACTTATTTATTAGGACGAATTAATATTTATGTTATACCATGATTGATACTTCTGGAGTCGGTGCCAAGATTATGAAACGTGTGAAGTTTGCCTGCACCGACTCCAAAAGTATCAATCATGGTATAACATAAATATTAATTCGTCCTAATAAATAAGTAATTAGTAGGTAATTATTTTTCTACTTTTTAGTGTTTGTTTTTTGGAGTCGGTTTTTTTTTTATAAAAATTTACTTATTTCTTGCTTTTTAGTTAACTAATTATTACCTTGATGTTACCACTGAAGGCAGTACATTGAGACTATATTCTTCATGTCAAGTGTAAAATAATATTCCCTAAAAAATACAGGTTATCATATCGGCAACCTAAAAAGACCTTAAGCCGTCAGCCTACCTTAAAAACATGAAATAATACAACTGTGGGTCTAATTGTACCTATAATATTTAAAAAATTATCCTCCAACTCCTAAGAGTTAAGGAGTTGTACCTACCATGACCAGTTCATCATGATGAGACGATGACTATTTGATGCAAACACTTGAATAAATTTAGAAACTATAGTTATCTATAAAATTTAAAGAATTATCCTCCAACTCCTAAGCATTAAGGAGTTGTACCTTCTATCATCAGCTCATCAATATGAGATGATGATTTCCAGGAGCAAATACTTGAATAACTTAAGAAAAGGTTTGAAAAACGATATACATACGTGCCTATAAAATTTGAGGGTTGCCCTCGATTTCCCTAGGATCCCATCATCAGATCCTGACTTGGTGACAATGGGACCACCTCAGAAGTGTACCCTATCGAACAAAAAAGAATTTTGAAAATCGGTTCACAATTGGCGGAGTAATCGGTGAACATACATAGAAAAAAAAAACATACATACAGTCGAACATATAACCTCCTCCTTTTTTGAAGTCGGTTAAAAATGTATTAAACTTGTGTCTGCTTTCTTCTTCTATTAATAGATAATTTTATTGGCTATCGCATGATACAAAATATTTGCCTATTAATGTTAAGCTACCCACGCTTTCACTTGTTTTTTAAAGAAGAGGTGTAAACTAAAAATTAAAAACTTAAATCGATGTAATTTTTCGAGAAATGGGTCAGGCCCCAAATTTGAAGTATTTTCATCAATAAAATTGTCCATAGATTACGCCCTTAAAGTTTGATCACTACATGCCCGGACACACTGTATGTATACATATGTTAACATGGGTTAGTGTCGGCTTATATACCCATTTACCTAACACCCTGTATAGCATCTTCGTGCAACTTTTATAAGGTTTTACATAACTTCTATAGGTTCATATCATTTTACATAACTTAAATTTTCATAATATGATGTAAAATGTTAGACAAATTCAAATTGAATATTTGTAACACCATATTTCAGAGGGATCTTCGCATCCCTTAGCTCATAAATAACGTACGGGTGAGAGTGACAGAGTCCCGAAAATGTGGAATACGAGGTTAACCCGGCTAATTCAACTTGGGTGTTTCTTAACCCATTCACTGCCATCTAAATTTGAAAAAATTACAACCATAAAGTTTACTTACAGGATTAACCGTTTATATAAGATGAACCGTTTATAAATACCTCATCAGTGCCCCAGCCTGTCGGTGCAGCATTTCGTTCGTTTCAGTCAAATGACGTCCACTGCTGGATAAAGGCCTCCCCCAATTACTTTTACAACGATCGGTTCTGCGCTGCCCGCATCCAGGTGGGAGGCCTGTCCACACTACGTCTTCTGGCCCGTGGTCGCCACACGAGATCTCTGCCCCAACGACAATCAGTTCTACGAGCTATGTGCCCTGACGTCACTTCTTCCCAAACTACAGAAACTCTTCTGAGGCTGTTGGAAAATAAACCTTACCCTGCGCAGCATAGAGCACATTGTAACCGATCAGTGCCCCAGCCGGCCTGTGCGGCGGTATAGGCTGCCAACTCACTCGCAGGGCGCTTGACGTCACTTCTCATCCTACAGAGGCTCTTCTGAGGCTGTTAGAAAGTAAGCCTTACCCTGCGCAGCGTAGAGTACATTGTACCCGATCAGTGCCCCAGCCTGTCGGTGTGGTGGTATGGGCTGCCAACTCACTCGTAGAGTGCTTGACTTCACTTCTTTTTAAACTACAGAGGCTCTTCTGAAGCTGTTAAAAAGTAAGCCTTACCCTGCGCAGCGTAGAGTACATTGTACCCGATCAGTGCCCCAGCCTGTCGGTGTGGTGGTATGGGCTGCCAACTCACTCGTAGAGCGCTTGACGTCACTGCGGTACACTCCACTGAAGATGGTGCCTCTTCTGGGGCTGGTGGGAATAGAAAAATTCTAGGTAAGACATCATCATCATTATTATAAGCTCATAGTATCCACAGCATGACCACGACCCTCCCTAATTTTCACAGCCAGCCTGGAGAGACGGGTTAAAGAGGCTGAGCGCTGAGGAATTAAAAAACTTTAATTTTTATAGCCACTTAATGAAAAACTACAGAAGGAAGCCTGTTTTGGGGCTGATGGAAAATTAGTACTTCATATTAGACTGTAAAACTGGTGATTGAGCTAGACGAGGGGCTTGCATTACAGATCACCTGTCATCATCATCATCATCTCAGCTACAGGACGTCCACTGCTGAACATAGGCCTCCCCCAATGCTTTCCATGTTACCCGGTTGGTAGCGGCGGCCTGCGTCCAGCGCTTTCCTGCTACCTTTATGATGTCGTCGGTCCACCTTGTGGGTGGACGTCCCACGCTGCGTTTTCCGTAACAGATAACCTGTACTTCAAACTACTAGTCAAAGTAAGTCATCATCATCATCAGGACATCTATTTAGTCTCCATTCTTTGCTACAATACAAACAATGGAGAAGAGAGTTTACTTTGTGCTTTATATCTGTTGAATAACGTTCGAAATACAATACTCTGTATCATCATGGAGCCGAGAACTAACAGTCGAATCTGAGAAAATGGCCGCCATTCGATACGTATCGTTAAATTTAACTACAGGTTGTGGGTATTCATTGAACGTGATAGTAGTATTCGATACTGTGTGGATATGTCTATCATTTTGTCTAGAGGTTAAACACAAATAAATTCAAATTCAAATTATTTATTTGCATAAAACATGGTACATTTCAGTTAACTACGTAAAAATATCTACGGACATTTTAGAATGTGCCGTCAAGTTCCAAGCTATACAAATCTTGCACAATGATGGGTACCAGGCAGTGGATAAACATTATGTAATTTATTAATGTTTTAAAACAAATTTTGTTCTCCTGCCAAGTAAATATTTATATACTCCTGTAACTGAGTTTCTTGTGCTGCTTCTTCTCAACACTGGCCTATTTATTGTCCTGAAGCAGTGGCAGGGTTATTACTGGGACGTGAAAAAGTTTTTTTAAAAGCCTAGTTGAAAAAATAAAATGAGTTTCATGAGTTTTTTAATGTATAGGCAGGATAAGCGCTAAATAAAAGCCCAAGCAGTGTAGGTCAAGGTGGTTCATTGAATCCGCAACGAAATTCGTTAAAATAAATGGGAATTGTGGGACGCAACTTTGCCCGTCATTCTTCAAGTGTATGAGATACTTCACGCACCAAAAAACATCCAGCAATAATAATATGATGAATATACCAAAACTTCACATATCCACATCATAAAGAGCTCCCGTAAATCCAACTTCAGACATTTCGGATTTATTACGCTCGAAATCTCGCAAACGTGTGAAGTTTTAACGAAAACAAAGCGGCAAACTTCCCTCCTCTGTTAATTGCTGAAAGTTTCAAAAAGTTCCGACAAAAATCCCGAGAAAGGGGATAATAGAATTATATTACCGGTCGTTGTACAGGATGCTTCTTTTTGGGGTCCCGTAAACAACGGATAAAAACGTCACCCTATTACTAAGACTCTACTGTGTGTCACTCAGTGTTTGTCACCAGCCGGGCTAGGATGCCCGCCGTAATAAGATCTTATCGACGATTTTAGACGACAAATGGCTTAACGCGTAAATTAGATAAAATGACGTGATAAAAAGCTTACCACGGCGCGCATCCCAGGTCTACAAGCTGTTGACATTTTCACAAATTATGTATTTTTGCCGCTACAACTACAAATACTAAAAACAGAATATAAAGTTTTTTTATGTGGGGCATACAATAAATGTACTTAATTGTTGTTGCTGTTTTTTGCTCGAATAAACTATTTACAAACCTAAGTTTATACGGAGCCCTTCTTGCACGAGTCAGACTCGCACTTGGTCGGTTTTTTATTTCAAAGTGATGTTCTGATGTTATTAAATAGCTGGTCTGTGGAAACAGCATTACGAGAATGACGTCATTTGTCTTTAGCTAAAGTCTGTTTTGCCATTAGTGAATTTTGTCTTCAGCATTCATTGGAGCGAAAATATTGTGCAAAATTCCTCCGAATTAAAAGGGAAAAATTCTAAAAAGTTACGTAATTTATGCATTAGCTCAGACGTACTGTGCTTACTGATGTGGACAATGAAAGTGTTAACTTGTTAGGAAAATATAAAAATAAGTTTTATACAGGAGTTCTGTGAATAGTAATGGGCAAACAGGCAGTGCCTACTTGGAAAACTACAAAAACTCTTATGCACCTATAATGTATGCTATGCTTAACTGAAAGAATGCTCACGAAATAATAGACACTTATCATTAAGTTCAATGATAGTGGGCGAGACGAATAGAGGTGTTGCGTAGCCCACGAACATTGAAATCAACACACTAACACTATAATAAAATATATTTATCATAGCGATCGATAAATGCGCGATTTGAAGTTATCTATACCCGGCGCTTGTCCGCATTGTCACACTATTTTTAGGTATTCTAAACAGAACACAGCCTTGTCTAGTAGATTTAGAACATAATAAATAAAGTCAACTTTGGTAGCCAGTATTTTTTGATACGTCAGTGGTTTGATATCAATTAGAAATAGCAACAGTAGTAGTACACACATACCTCTAAATATGTATAAATAGGGCAAAAGAAAGTTATCAAATCAAATTAGCCAGTAGCTTAACCGCCTTTAAGCTGTCAAAAAGAAGCAAAAAATCTTTGGGGTATTCCCGAAAACGTAATTAACTAAGGTCCCAGTGGCCTGACCACAGACAAAATAGGAAAAAAAGAGTAATTCAGTTACACTGTGGTCTGAATTTGCCGCGTTCAGGTTGCGAGACAAATTGACGTAGAGACAGACACCTGCCGGGTGTAAAATGTAAGGAGCCCCTTAGCAAGGAACTGACAGAAGCTCATTTTTTCTTTTTGTAACAAAAAGAAAAAATGCTTAACTTAAATTTTTAATGATAACTGCAGCAATTCTGCATTATATTGACTTTTTTTTACATTAATGGCAATATTTACTCGTATAAACACTACGTAGTAGGTGACAATAATTATGGCATATATTGTACTTTGTAAACTGCAATACTTCGCAATAAAAAAATACTGTTTTATGTGGATTTATAAAAATAAAAAGCCGCATAGGTCCTTTTTCAACACAGAATATTTCTCTATTTGTATGAAAGCGAAATTCACGAGAGCAATGTAAATAAAAATACTATCCATGTCAATTTAAAATAAAACTTTTCCAATATGAAGGGATAGTTTAAATTGGAAGCTTTGAAATCTGATTCATGAAAAAACGAAGACTAAAACGCGGGATATTTTTCATAAATTTTAATGGAATCCTTAAAAAAAATATCCCGCGTTTTAGTAGCAAAAGAATTTTTTTTTTCACCATCAAACTTTGGAGCTAACAATGTTCATGCAAAAAATAAGGTGCACTGTGCATGTATCAAACCCCAAATCTCTGGCAGAGTTCTCAACTCAACCACTACGCTCATCATTTCAGCCACAGGACGTCCACTGCTGAACATAACATAGGCCTCCCCCAATGATATCCATATCGCGCAGTTGGTAGCGGCCTGCATCCAGCGCCTTTCAGCTACCTTTATGAGGTCGTCGGTCCACCTTGCGGGTGGACGTCCCACGCTGCGTTTTCCGGTACGTGCCACTACTGCGCTAATCATCATCAAATTAAGCTTGAAATAACCACAAAGCTCCTGGTGTCACAAAACTTTAACAGTATGAACACTGCTTAAAAAGCTTTTCATTTCAAAAATTATATAAGCCTCAAGAACATGCCTTTTACCAAGAAAAATCGCGTATTATCATTCTCTTTACTACGTTATCTCAAGTTAATATTTTCCTTGCTTTATTATACAACGGCGCATGTGTGTTTTGTAATTTTAAAGCCTAAATCTCATTATTTCTTATGTACAGTAGAATCCCGACTTTACTCCATTGGATTAAGTATCATCGTCTTATTTTGATGCCAGTTCAAAAGCTTGCTTTTAAGGTAATTGGGTCTTGCAAGATATTGTGGTATGGAATTAAAATATCATATTTCTGTTATTATCCCGAAGTAAATTGGGGGTTAATGAATATTATCTAATCTTAAGCCCTTATAGCGTCTTCTTATGTATTTAATATACTTGTAATTTTGCCTAAATACTCAACCATATTTTTAGGGTTACGTAGTCCTGACAAGGAACGCTTATAGGTAGATACTTAGTTTCGATATGTCTGTCTGTCCGAGGTTTTGCTTGGAAACTATTGGCACTAAGGAGCTGTAATTTTGTGGAGGTATGTGTATTTTACGCCGACAAACCAGTAAAATAAAATTTTGAAAAAAACAATTTTTTTAGAGTTTATCATCAAAAATCAAAAAAAATCATCCCCACTTTACATGTAGGGGAGCCCCTACATGTAAAGTGGGGATGAATTTTTTTTCATCTTGTACCCCTTCGTGTGGAGTTTCGTTGGGCAGGTCTTTAAAATGGCTTAGGTGTTTCTAAGACTATTTTTCCATTTAGGGATCTGTTTGCAAATTTGCGACCATGGACCGGAAGATGCAGTGTGGGCACTAGTCGGCAGGCCTTCCACTAGCTGGACTGACGATCTGGTGAAGGTCCTGGGATCTAGATGCAGGCAACGCAGGACCGGTCGTTGTGGAAATCATTGGGAAAGCCTTTGTCCAACAGTGGACGTCCTTTGGCTGACACTTAACGAATTCTCAACCAAAAAGAATGACAGATCATTCAGGTTAAAGGGAAAAAACCTAATAATGAATTAAGTAACTATGTATATTCCCGGTAGGATGATATACTAGGAAGTATGGATGTCATGAATGTTTGTTTCAGTGAGGGAAAATCGGTACAATTTAATATCTATTTAGAAACGCTTACAGACAGACAAGAACCTTTTATTATATGAATGTGTAGAAACATCTGCTCTGATTTATTATTATTGGTTTTTGGGCCTTCATTTGCGCAAGCTCGACCAGTAGGCCTAAGATGCGCGCCGTGATAACTTTTATCGACGGCAAAATGTATGGGCAAAATCGATAAAATGGCGTGATAACCGCTTATCGCAGCGCGCATCTTAGGCCTACAGGTTTGATCTATTGTGGCAGCCCTTGTCTTTAGAGTTCACATGAACATCTGCTCTGTAGAAAAGAGAGTAAAGAATACGAAAAGTAATAAACAAGTAATTTAATATGAATTACTTTCCAACTCGACGGAGTTTACCAAACAGGATGAGCCGTATCATTTACATTTCCAAGACGGGCAAACAAAAGTTCCTCGCCTTTGCATCTTTTCAACTTCCTGATATCACAGTGGAAAAGTAAAGAGTTATCTTGCTTTGATCAACATAAATAAAAACTCAAAGGTGACTGACTGACATAATGATCTGTCAACGCACACTACGCATAGCCCAAACCACTGGACGGATCGGGCTGAAAGGCATGCAGGTAGATGTTATGACGTAAGAAAGGAATATCCGAAACCACCCCTAAGGGGGTAAAACGAGATCCACGCCTATGAAGTCGCGGGCTGAATGACAAGGCTTTCTCTGCTAGTTAACTTTTGGGCTTAGCAGAAGCATTTCAAAAATGACTTTTTTATCTTTAAATGTGTCTCAAAGGCACTCGTAAGGCAAAAAAGATTTTATGATTTGTAAAGTCTTTTAAGGGCAACCCTTTAAGCATTTTTGTAATTTGTATTTTAATTTTATATCAGCATAGAGAGAGTTATTGGCTATGAGTTAGCGCATTATTGCAGTAAAACGCTACAATTATCAAAATTACCTTACCCTATAAACGGAAGGTCTACTGCCTTTATTTCTGTTGCTCTTAAAGTCGTCCTGTTACGCAAAGCGTTTTGCACTTTCACAAAATGTTCTCAAAATTGCAAATTGCGTCAACTCACAAATTAGAGAAACTCAGACTTTTCCCAAAGTTGCCTCGTGAACCTTTATTGTCTTCATTAACACTGTCTTACTTCCTTATTGTTGTTATAATTACTTTCCCACCTTTTTACGAGGAGAATTTGAGACTTCTTTTTATTTTAAAGGGGGATTACGGTGATATTTTAGACTTTGTTGTTAAGATGAGCGTAAGATAATCAGAAGAAAACAAAAGAGTCGTTTTTTAGTTTGAAAGGAATAGCCTTAATATTTTTTTTGCCTTATTATAATAACATAATATACAGACTTTGAAAGCACTTCAGGTTATAGATAAATTATTGTAAAGCAGCACATACAAAAACTTTACAACTAACAACCGTGTCTGACGTAATGACACCATTAATCCATTTTATTTTATAATTCAATTTTCACCAATAATTACGTCTGATTTATGACTGGATACCTCAAGTAGTTTACTAAGTTGTGCTCCTTTAAAACTTTGCTTAAAAGGTTTCTCATAGTAAAAAAATGTAGGTATATTATTGAAAAAAAAAACATTTTAAACAAAAAGCAGTAATTTTGTTATTTATGTACTTATGAGTAATAGGTGAGAAAAACAAGCTTTTTTCGATCTATACAGATTTAATAATATTTGAGTTGCACTCGCAAACCTCCGTATTATAGTTCAAAAATACTGGACTGTCCTGTCGATGACATTGACAGTGGGGCGCCACCGTCAATACCGGATCGCTGGTTCAGATTTTTGCCATGTTGGAAACCATATAGTTGAACGATGGTAGCGCCCCCCTGTCATTGAGTTTGGCGGGACAGTTCAGCGTGGGTCATCTATAACTGGGGTACGAAAATGTCAGAAAAATTCACCTTACAAATGCATGAGAAACTTCTGAATTTTAAGTTACGTCATTTTAGTTTCACACAATCCCTTCTAGAAAAGACACATTCAAAACTAAAAATATTTCAACACTCAAATCTTGGTCTAAACTTCCATGTGCCAAGAGTCGCCTTGTCATCGCAAGGAAATGTAGGCCACGCAGACACAACAAAGAGGGAAAACATTTCCCTCTAAATTTGCATCTAAGCAGTGATTCCCAAAGTTGTCCAAGCCCCAGGGTTTCATGGCAGACGGAGGTCTATGTTTTGTGGTGATAAAAAAGGGGGGTTTACAAGTTGTAAGTGAGGGTTTTTGAAGTTTTATCCAGTTTCATTTTAAAAATGCGATTTCCGTGAACAAATGTCACATTGAGACATAGATAAGCTGTTCTGTCAGCGTCAAATACACTTAGGCTGAGTTGCACCACCTAACTTAATTTGACCGTAACTATATCGATAACCGGCGTATGATTATTTTGTATGGAGCTTGACAGATTTTTGACGTTTGTTAAAGTCAAAATAAGATGGTGTAACCCAGCCTTAAAGTTGTTAAAAGCTTGCAACACGTATTTAGTTTTGTTGCCGTTGGAATATGGTCAACTTTTTGGCCACTTTTGGTGTCACGAACTATTATATATTAGACGCTGACTGTATAAGAAATAAAACTATTTCTCAGCTATGACAACCTTTGGAAAGATGGAAAATAAGCAGCTTCGGAGGGTAAAACCAGTAAACATTCTATCTACGAGAAAAAACTTTGGGAACCTCTAATCTACACGAACAAAGCGAAGTTTGGAACTTGGGACTAAACGTGCCCTTTTAGATTTCAGCAAGGGTTGAATGGCGGTTCTATTTGTACATATTTGTTAAGAAAGTTCAACAAAAAGTATTGATAACAAAGAGTCCGATGAGGCGATCTCTTTTAAAGTCAGTTTATTAAACCTTTTTCTTTGTTGGAAAATTTAATGAGGTGGCTTACGATTTTATGCATTTAGAACAAAATTGATAAATATTGCTGATCATTTCATTTTGTTTTTAAGGCGCTTTTTAAAACTTTATTTATTAGGCAATATTGCAATGAAAAGCTAATAATAATTCAAGTAAGTATAGTTAATATTAAAACGCGAACTTTTAATATTAATTATACAGGGTGATCTCACTTATCGTTTTCACCTTGTATGTGCGTCAAACTTTCACTTTCAGTATGGCACGTCAAAATATGTAATTTATGTACATTTTGAAGAATTATTATTCTAATTTAGAATTAATTAGGTGCACTACCTACTCAAATACTTATTTATTAGTCAAGTGTTCCGGGAACGAGATTACACATCCTTTTGTTCTAACAATTCCCTATATATTGTTTGAAGTATTTTAACAATAACATTCCATTCATCATTTTTGTCAAAGCAAAATTGATAAGGTTCCATTCTGGGAATTTTTGCTGTATATAATATTTTAATAGACTAAAAGCTTTTTTTAACAAAATTCATAAACAAGAGCAGGTTATAAAATTGTTCCCGGAAGATTATAACATTCAAACCATTTCGTACTCAATTAAAATTACTGGCATAACAGTACATGAAAGAATTTCAATAAAATATGTTTTATGTATGAAAAACACATTTAAAAATGATTTACAGTGATTTATTACCTCAAAAAGTCATTAAGGAAGAAGGGAATACCAATAAAAGTCAACATAAAAAGGTACATTTACACTGACGCGACTGGATTCGATTGTATGCGCAAATGTTATGAAAAGAAATGAAATTCGCACGACACATTTATCTTTCAGCGATTTTGTCGGCCGATAGTTGGGCCCGATTCTATTAATGTGTATGAAGAATCGGCCGATCCAATGTGCGCACTTACATACATACCTAATACTGATTAACAGCCCGACCCAACTATCGGCCGACAAAAAGTTTGTAGTCTGCGGCTAAGTGTAAGCCTAGGCGCAGACCACCGACTTTTAGTTGCCGACGCGACGGCCGCCTAAGCGACTCTTACGCCTGGGACACATACACCGCGATATCATTCAAGCGACAGTGGAGCGATGTTCTTGCGACTATGCAAAAAAGCATCAAATTATACGCGAATTCGGCTACAGGGCTACACACATCGCGATGGCGTGAATCTTCGGACTATTGCTAGTGTGTGTGGCCCAGGAGTGTGGGACATCATATGTTATTTGACTACCCTTCGGCAACCGTTTCGGTGGGACAGTTTACAGCGTAGGTACATCTGGTCAACAAGGATGACATTCGTAAATCAGCTACAAGCAATCTTCACTCGTCTTGCGTAGCGTACAGCGGTCAATAAGGTTGACAATCGTACATCGGTCGCCTTCACTTTGTACGCTAAAGGGTAAAGTTTCAGATTTAACTTGGGTAAACTTACCGCCTTCCCTGGTGTCTTGAAACAAAGGAATCGAATACGGCCCTGAGCCGGCCCCGTTGAACGCTGCTATGGATACTGCGTACCTGGGCAACAAAGGTGATACTTAAGTAGTTGTTACGATTGAGTTTGGATTTTGGACGTGGAACAAAGGTATGGAATGCGGTCCTGAACTGGCCCCGTTGAATGCTGCCCCTGAGGGCCTAGTGTGAGTTTCGTTCGTTCGTTCGTTTCAGCCAAATGACGTCCACTGCTGGACAAAGGCCTCCTCCTCAAAGTGTGAGTTTACAATAAAGTTTATATTTACATAAAAATGACATAAATGTATGACGGATTGTACAGCGCCCCTAGCGGGAAACGTTCAAAAACTAAAATTTTCATACCATTATTTTGTTTATTTTCATCATTTTCATTCATGATGTAAACTAACACTGAGCCCACAGGTCTACAAATGTGATAGTAAGTTTGTAACGATTAAGTCTGTGTGCTTTTACATCAAGCAAGTTACTTAGTTTTGCGAATCGGTGAAGCTGTACCTACCTACTTGAAGAGTAAATATTTTTTTAATGGATTACAGTCGATTTAAATAAATTATTATTTATGAAATTATAGCTTTCGGCTCATCGCCCGCTTGGTTGGTCTGTCAGTTCTGTCACACAACTGTTTTTCTCTGGATCTCAAAATATTGAAGTCGATGCATGGATATTTCCTACTACTTTACTTATTAGCAAAAGTATGGAATCATCCTCTTGTGTTTCGTTCCCAGCGATCTGATGAACTCGATGATTATCTAGTATGTATGGTATCAAGTTAAAGGTTACATATAACCTTTAAGCTGGTACCATTTCTAATTTAATATTTACAGTCATTTAGTTCCAAAGATCACTCGAAACGAATGAGGTGATTGCATATTTTTGCTCGCCTGTGTAATTAATCTTTTCAAAGAAAGGAAAGTGACACAAAATTACTTACCTCACGCCTTTAAGTAATCCCGTAATAACTGTCTCCTGCTTGGAGTATAAAGAGGCAGTTTTTATGGTCTTATCGCTGGCTTCTTCGGTCTCTGCAAGAAATAATTCGAGTTAGACATAAAAGTGTGCTCGTAAAATATCCGAGATAAGTAACTACCGGAGTTATAAAATTTGGGGGACGACATTTTTTTCTAATTTAAATGGAACTTTTTATGGAGCATTTTCGTTTGGACAGATTTTCGTTTATCGAAAAAATAAACTTAAGTTCTTCAAAGTTCATTCTAAAGAACATCAAAATATTATAATACCGTTTATTCAAGACAAATCTAGGATTGTACTGTACGAGTAAAATAATTAAAATGGTGGTTAGTGAATATTAAGCATTTTCACATCCATGCTTTTCCTGCAAAAATCAGTCTACCGATTTATTATTCTTTGTTATTTATTACCCACACATCTGAAAAATACAAAGGTTCAGTGGAACAAAGAGCCTGTTCCTTTCAAGTTAGTTTAAATCGGCACAAATGGAACAACTATCGCTATTTGTCTCTTACCTATCATCCCATTGAGTTGAGGAACAGCCTTCACCCTATACCCTATGATGAGGCCATTGTGAGCATCGGCAGGCGGAGGTAGCCACTTCACCCTGAGCTCCCCTGGGGAGTCCGTTTGTTCCAGTTGCACCCCGAGAGGTGGTGATGATGGGGCTGTGATAAAATGGACAGGGTAATAATAACATCTTTATTGTAGTACAATTAAGGTTTCAGAAGATCAGTGTAGTGAACTGTGTTTGGGGCAAGTATATGTTTATAAGAAGACCCTCGGCAACTATTCTTCTTCTTAGTCGGACACTCTTGTCAGAGTGGTCGTCAACCACGACCACGCTGACATTAGTACAGAAATCACAAGGGCATTTCAAGAACAAAGATACATAATTTTCAATTTGTCCTAAGAATCGAACTCGAAGACTTAAATCGAGAGGATATAACTCTTTTACCAATACACTTCGTCTTACTTCGAACTCCTCTTATGTTCTTCTGATTAATTTCGTTACGAGTCCAGTGACAGTTTAACTTTCCCTGGGACAAGCTTGACCTTGGCTGGGTTTTTATTGGCGGTCAAGCTGTAGATCCTGGCTACACAGGAGTTGCAGCGGTGGGAATGAGAGGTGGGAATAGTCCCGGAACGCTTACCCTCCTCAGTGGTGGTGAACCTGACGGGCGTGGAGTAGTGACTGAGGTCCGCCTGGTTCCCTCCGGCGACCCTCGCGGTGTAACCTGTGGCAGGCTGGAGGTCTTCGATCTCGATGGAGTGGCGGATGTCGTCTAGCCTGTGAAAGGAAAGCTTATGAAGCCTTGCTGAGAAATGTAGTGTGAAGTAACATTGTTATTTTGAACAAAAACACCATCGCTTAGAAGCATCAAGAGAACATTTTGTTGCGGGTCCAATGACAGTTTAACTTTCCCCCGGGACAAACCTGACCTTCATTGGTTGGGTTTTTGTGGCGGTCAAGCTGTAGATCCTGGCTACACAGACGTTGCAGCGGTGGGAACGAGAGGTGGGAATAGTCCCGTAAGCATCAAGATCGAAGTACGACATTAAGGAAACAGGGCATCATCATTATCATTTTCAAATTCAAAATACGTTTTTTGTGAACCTAATTGAATTGAAGAGAATTTAGTCTCCCCTGAAGGAGTAGGTTTTTTCAATTTATAAGAAGCAAGTGAAGGATTTGGGCTGCGTCTTCTCACCCTAGCCAAATGGGTTGGGGAGGCCTGATGTTCGCATATTTGTTCCTAAGTCACCTTTTACAACATCCACAGGAAGAGTGGGAGTGGTCAGACCACTGACTGTGATCTTATTCTACTCAGCCTCAGCTCTACGCGACTGACTTGTGACGCGCCCCGCGACGCATCGACAGCCCTAGCACCCAGCGCGGAGATTTTGACAACCCTACGGCTGCGCGGCCGCACACCGCACGGACCGAGCTAATATATGAGACGGCGGCGACCGCGGGCGCCTAGCATTCGCTCGGGAGCCATTGTAACAGCCAGACGTTCGCGCGCGCGTCTATCATTCCCTCGGCTGCATTGCAAAGAGTCCCTAGCGAATAGCTATCCACATTGTTCCTTACTAACCCTAACTGTTCGACTTTGGCTTGATCCGATACCTCGTCATTAATCCGCGGCTTGCCATAAAGCGTCGTGTCGAGACGTTCTATCGTTGATAGCCAACCGGTTCTCGTCCTTACCGAGTAGTGCATGAGATACTCATCCCGAACCTGCGGTAGCAATCCTGCTGCCACCCTTCCTGAACTTCACACCCCCTCGCCCCGTAGGTCCAACGCCTTTCCCCAGTGGTCGCGCTCACTATTGAGGCTTCGGTCTCTGGCTCGAGCTAATTGGACCACATCCTACCCCCCTAGTTATAAGTATCCAGACTAACACTCGATAAACCTCGCACAGGGCGCCGCCCCTCTCGCGGATACGAAAGCTAGCTAACGGGACGCGAACCGGGCGCGTCGTTATTTCTTTGAGGGTTGCCAGGTCCCATTATCGAGCTGCTGTAACTAAAGCCAAGGGCGTGTTACTGCGGAAAACAGTCGAGAGATTAGAAAAAGAGGGTCCGTGGTCTCCGATATATCATGAATTCAAAGCTAACCGTAAATTAGATATTGCTTATATTTCTAACATAAAAATTAACAACACTCATACGGTGGGTGTAGAGGAAACAACAGGTGCTCTTCTTAACGCGCTTATACCCGACGATAGTGTGGCTGACGATAACGATTATCATCGGGACGTCAGAAATGCTATTGCGGTGCTGCCTGAGTCGCCTGTGTCTTCTATTCCTAGCCTTGATGAGTTTTACGATATAGTAAATAGTTTACCCTTAAACAAAGCATCGGGCGAAGATAAAATATCAAATAAAATGATTAAAGCAGCGTGTAAAACAGCCGGAACGGATATTCTTAATGTTTTCACTCGTTGTATCTCGGAGGGCGTGTTTCCGAGTATATGGCGTCGCGGATTTATTAAAATTATACCAAAGGGAGGTGACAAACCGCCCGAAGATCCTAAATCGTACCGACCTATTACATTACTTCCCTCATTAGGTAAACTGTTGGAGCGATTAGTAGTGCCGCGTTTGCTGGGTAAGTAAGTATGTAAATTTTAATAAATTTAACGCCACATTCTTGTATACCACATGTAGGTATATGATGCTATTTTAAAAAACGTCAAACACGCGCTACAAAGCAATCGATAACCCATCAAGAAGTTTTCAATGGATTTTTCATGAATACTAATACGTTTTCCAAGAAAATTTGCTTATTATTCAGTAGAAGACCAGCCTTCTTTATTCGACATAATAAAAGCTACATTATGACTTGAAAGGTTTTGATGAGCATGCTATTATGGATGGAATACAACGTTGTTTTGTAAGAAGTAAGCAACAATTGATTTATACCTATTTAAAGGCAGTAAATATGTGTAGAATGTGAATTCGTGGGTAGATCCAAATACCTACGGTATAAATAACAATAAGTGTCCTCACTGGATTATTTCTAAACTATACAAGATAATATCAAAAAACTGATTCCTGAAAGTGCTTCGCGAGCTCTATCAACTTAGTATCAATAAATAGGTTACAGAATAAACTGGATCTATCCGAAATTCAATGTTTCCATCTATCAACTCTATTACTGACTCTGAAAAAGTTTTCAGGTTTCGTATATAAGAATATGTTGTTAAAATAACATACCTACGAGACGACACGTGTTGTATGAATCTGGCTTTTTCGTAAAGATGAGTACACACTGTAGCATTTCATATACTTGAGATATAAGGAAAATCTGCTATGACGTAATCTCATCGAATGTTAAGTGTAGATGCCATTTAGGGTACGACGTACCTGTATCAGCATGAAATCCTTTTTAGGGATTTAAAAAGAAAGAAAGAAACATTTATTGCAATGGACATCACCAAAGACAAAAGAGGTAAATAAAAGAAAAAGCAAACAAGACAGAAGTATCACATAAAACATACAATGGAAGAGTACAAGATTTACGAGTATTCTTTACTCCACACGCTTGTCAGTCGAGTTGAGGAGACCTTGTTTCTACTTTTACATGACTAGTAAGTATTTACTATTAATCCTAAAAATACACGACATATTTCTTAGGGCAAGTATTGCAAACAGTGAATTCCAAGCAGTTCTAAAAAATTTAAGATGTATACTACTCACCATTATAACACAGTCGACGATATATTATGAGAGCGCGTCTTAAGGGAAGCCAATATTTTGATGGCAAGACGATAATCCCTTTGCCAATAATTACAACCCACCCTATATTAGATACCCTATATTTCGCACGATCCCGAAATTAAACGGTATCGATTCCAGGAAGTCTGGAATCTAATCTATTGGGGGGAAACGTGATAGTTGGTTTATAGATCCAGTCTAAAGTTAATATTTGATAGTAAATCATGCAGTGTAGTGATTGGCCAAAAACTTTTTATAATATGCCGTCAACACTGAATTTTCAGATAGATCCAATTTATTCTGTAAAGTATACCGTTTAAAAGAGCTCGTGACTTTTAGGATCAGTAACCAGTTTCTCGATACCTTGTGTATAGTTTAGATATAATCGAGTGAGATCACTTATCGTTTCCACCCTGTATAATGAGTGGAATTACTTTACATAACTAATTCACCAGAAGAGGTATGTGATGAGTTTTGGCACAGAAGATGCCCCATGGTGTTCTAAAGCATATAGGCTTAAAACCATACCTTTAGAGTTGGATCTTCGGACAATAATTCCCTTATGTTTAGGACCAAAAGAGGTAACAAGGTGAGCTTAACAGTGTCAGCATCGGACTGCCGATTCCAAAATTTTAGAGGTCACTATAGTTGGATTCCTTCCAACGTAAACATTTTAGTTTCTTGGAAATGTTATCGGGAATATTGTAGTGTTGTATACCATTAACCTATTCGTTAAAAACCATCCGTTTCGTAAATATATTAGCCACAAAACTAAAAACACCCGGAAACAAAACCAATTAATCCAACGTGCTGACGTGAACTCCTGGCAGACGTCCAGGACACCAACTGTTACTATCCGCAGAGTTTTTGCCAGACCAAGTTTATTATTACCCTTTAACAGTCAAACAAGCTGGAAATTCTCCATAGATTTTCAATCTAAAGACAATGGCATAAAGTTGAAGATCGTAACAATATTGTCACTGATGGAATATACATATTTCGGGTGTCAAAACTAAAAACTTTCAATCCTCACTAAAAAATTTGTGGAAATGACTAGGTACATATAATTCAAGTAACTATGACTGCTATAACTTTATATGAAATTGCCTACCTAAAATAATTTATGGTTCTGGCTCTCTCGACTACGCTAATCTCTGACTTCTAGTGAGTGATCATCTAAAGTACCCACTCAGTACTTAAGCATTATACTAGCATGAGAGTGATACTTCTATCTTTAATTTAAAGTTTATTTTCCTACCTTGTGATGTGACATTGATAGTCCTGGCACTCGATCAGGCCAGCCGCTGGCTGTTAGTGATCTGAAGGCTATAGAACTGCGCCAGGGAACGAGTCATGTCGCGCCAGGAGAGCTTCACCCATCGACTTTTCATGGAGTCCACGGATGGTTTACTTCTGTGGGATAGTGATACTTCTACCCTTGACTTATAGTCTATTTACCTGGTGACATTGATAGTCCTGGCACTCGACCAGGCCAGCCGCTGGCTGTTGGTGATCTGAAGGCTGTAGAACTGCGCCAAGGAGCGAGCCATGTCGCGCCAGGAGAGCTTCACCCATCGGCTCTTGATGGAGTCCACGGATAAGTCCGTTGGGGGTGATGGTGGTTCTAGAAGAGACCTTATGGTTGAGTTTATAGAAGTTATTTGTAGAACGGTTAAAAAACTAACGTTTACTTTGATTTTTCTGGCATTATAACGACATTTATGGTAGAGATAAAAAATTTAGAAGATCAAATCAATCAACGAACGACAAATTCGAAAGCTGTTCAAGTGTTCACTGCATCTACATACAGTTTCCTTTATGTCACTTTTAGTTTTTTTTTTAATATTTTCAGTGCTTTCCAGTTTATTTTTAAAATCTATGTCATTATGAGTGATCCATAACTTGTCGAACTATCATCATCAGGTTTCCCTTGCAGGAATACGAACTTCTCAAAACCAGAGCCAAATTAAGGACTTGGCCTATCCACTTATCCTTTCCAAATCATTATAAAAACAGCTCACCCAAAATAGTAAGGTGGACGCTGAACACGTCAGCTCCAAATGGGTTGCCAGCTCTGCACTGGTACAAGGCTCCATCGCTCGTCTCCGTCTGCATCAGCTCCAGAATGCTGGTTAGGCCGTCGTCAGTCTTCGCTTCTGATATCTTTATCCTACAGGATAAAAACGATGTCATCAGGCACTTGACAGTCATCATCATCATCATTTCAGCCATAGGACGTTCACTGCTGAACATAGGCCTCCCCCAATGACTTCCACATCGCACGGTTGGAATGGCCTGCATCCAGCGCCTTCCTGCTACCTTTATCAGGTCGTCGGTGGGTGGACGACTTGACAGTAATAGAATAAATTACTACTTCAATCCCAACTAATATTATCCCAACTAATATTATAAATGCGAAAGTAACTCTGTCTGTCTGTCTGTCTGTCTGTCTGTCTGTCTGTCTGTCTGTCTGTCTGTTACGCTTTCCCGCTTAAACCTCGCAACCGATTTTGATGAAATTTGGCATAGAGATAGTATGAGTCCCGGGAAAGAACATAGGATAGTTTTTATCCCGGTTTTTGAAACAGGGACGCGCGCGATAAAGTTTTTCTGTGACAGACAAAATTCCACGCGGGCGAAGCCGCGGGCGAAAAGCTATAAATTAATAATCTTGTCATTTTTACCACCTGTTCTAAGCAAAATAGGCACACAAAAAAGATTTTAAAATATTATCTGGGTATTGAACCGAAACCTCTAATTACGTAGACTTTTGCCTAAATTCTACCTCATATCTGTGCTCATATTATTTTAATGATTTTATTTTACAAAGATGCAAATCAAGGTTGCACATTGCACACCTAAAGGAGGATACGACCAAACAAGAGTACCTTAATATTAATTTCTGAATAAATCGTCAGTTATTCGACATTTTGACAATTCCCATACTGAAACTGTCAATGTGCCAGTTATAACAAGAGTAATAATTATCGGATAAAAGATTGGTCGAATCGGGCATTCGGGCCTAAGTGAAACAGATCGAAGCTCAAAACTCAATTCAATGTCAAGTATGCACATTAATTGGCTGAATTTCAATATTTTAACCAATCAAGGAGGAGAAGGAGACAATCTCCGACTAAAATTGAATCTTGAGAGTTATTTTGAAATAGGGGAAACTTTATAACACCTCTATTCTGTGGACGTCTGAGAATCTCACCCGTCTGTAAAGTTTTCATAACTTCTACAAAGTATGTAGAACATAAGTTCTCAAACGTTCTTTCTTCTTACGAGTAGGCGCACACCGTTGATTTTTAGTTGGCCGATAGTTGTGCCCGATTTTAACTTGTATGAAGAATCGGCCAAATCGAATCGGCGTAGTGTGCGCACTCCCATACATGCCCATACTGAGTGCTTAGTGTGAGTTTGTTAACTCTGTCAGAATGACTTTACGATCTCGTATACCGAGTTGACTTTAAACGCATCGTAGACAGTATGCGAGCGAGTGCGAGTTGCTATCAAAGCATGTAGCGTTGCAATTTTGGCTGTTNACTGATCAACAGCCCGACTAAACTATCGGCCGATGAAAAATCAACGGTGTGCGCCTACTCTACCTCTTATCATAGAACACATACCTACATAAAAACAGCTAGTTAAACTATTAACTTGAAACTTAGGATAACCTTGTTGTACAAAATCAATTATCGTTCGTTTTCCTTTCAGCCAAACGACGTCTACTGCTGGACTTTTGGAGGCGTTGGCCTCCCCCAAAGATTTCCACTACGATTGATCCTGCGCCGCCCACATCTAGGCACCTCCCGCGACCCTCACTAGATCGTCGGTCCACCTGGCGGGGGGCCTGCCCACACTAGGTCTACCAATCTACTCAACTAAAATCAACTACAGTCTTTGGCAATAAAAACTGATAATAATATAAATGCATTATGATGATGAAAATAGACTCAAACAGATGTTAAACTGTCTGAGTTTCCATAACATTAATTACTACACTTTGTAATTAAGGAACTTATACCACAGGAACATAGATATTGGTAACTTAGTTACTAAGACTGAGTTCCACTACCTAACTTTAGCTTTAACAAACTTCAAAAACCTGTCTAACTCCATACGAAAAATACCGGTTACCATAGGTGGTGCAACTCAGCCTAAAATTTTCAATTTCTTTTGAGAAGTACTGTACATACCTCTGAGTCAACGGGTTGATAGGTTTCGTGTTCTTCGTCCACATGATCCTGATGGGGTCGTCTCCTTTGGCGTGACATTCTATCGTCACGTGCTGGCCCAGCTTAGCGGTGACGTTCCTTGATACGTGGTCGAAGGTGACCGGTTCTGGAAGAGGTTGCTTGTTTGGTAAAGATGGATCTAATGAATGATGAACTAACTTAGACACTTTTGCTTTGCTTTGTATGCGTAGTGAGCGAATAGTTAAACTCAAAGATTTCTCTAACGACAGATCCTCCAATAATGCCAAATCACGCTTGCGATTCTTCCACCATTTAAACAAATTCGTAAAAAAAAACAGGTCAAAAACAAAAAAAAAATCGCCAGCAGTTCACTTACAACTCCAATTTGAGCTTTACAGCTTCAGTTTAAATATAAAATCCATTACATAAATTGATTGGTGGGTCCTGATGACCGACATATTATGTCCGTTTAAAATAAATCCATGTGTCACCATAGGACTCGTTTAAAAATTAGGAATTGATGGTGAAAACGTGCATGAGAGTGACTGTTTCTTATCAACATTTAAAGAAGCACCCAATGATCCTTTACTTACTATTGACTGAGATCCAAACGGTCTTGCTCAAGGCTTCTCCGACCCCATTCTCCACGTGACAAGTGTACAGTCCAGCGTCAGACAAAGCCACCGAGTCGAAGATCAGAGACCCATTGGACAGACTGAGGACCCCTCCTCCAGCCACTTCTAGCACTGGTCTCCAGGCGTCCGACACAACTAGGGGGAAATAATACAGGAAAGTAGCTAGTCTGATTCCCCACAAGTTGACTATATTGGAAGAAAAATGTGTGTTATGAATGAATATGATCATGATTACGCTGTTTTTAATATCGCGCGGATTTCTTCATGGACGCGGGATTTACGCATGCGTAATACCCTTCGTGTGATCTTTTCATACAAGTATTTTCACTAACCGCACGTCTCACTGCGTATTCCATGCATTACAATAAATACTTGTATGGAAAGGACACTTGCGGGTATCACGCGATGATGAAATCCACGATATTAAAAACACCATAAGGCCCGGTTTTCACCAAGGCGGAACGGAGCGTAGAAGTGTTTTGAATAACCAATCAGATTTTATTTTGTCAAGTTTATTAAATCTGAATGACATCTGATTGGTTGTTCAAAAAATTTCTCCGCTCTCCGCTCCGCCTTGGTGAAAACCAAAGGTTTCAAGCAAAGCGGAGAGAGATGTGTGTTGTGATGTGAACCAATCAGTTTTCTATTAAGCTGAAATGCATGCATGGGTAAAGCGTGATAATGCAAATTGTGATGACATGGATTTGATCTAATGATGGAGATGGAAAGTGAACCTCGTTTATTTTATTATTTTTCGAGCATATTCTTAAAAGCTTGTTTTCAAAAAGGTTTTTTAAAGCTAAAATGACATTCTTAATTTTCACTAAAACGGGATTTGGAAATGCGGGTGGGTGAAGAAAATTCTTCGCGCCCTAGCAGACGACGCCGCATTTCTTCAGTCTGTCCACGACCAAGATTTTTTTTTAATCACTACGACTCGTGCTACTGAGTCGAAACGTTGGGAACGTAAAAACGTTTTTAAAAGTGTTTATGTGTTGCCAAATCCCGTTTTAGTGAAAATGAAGTAAAACAAATGCATCGTGAAAGTTTAAAATATTAGACTTTTCTTACTATCCCTCTTCAGCCAATGTGTCTGGGGCTGTGGGTAGCCGCTCGCACTACACGATATGTACCCACTTCGTCCTAACAACAAAGATGCGTTCTGAGGCTCTTCACTCCATTTGGGTGCAACTGTACAAACATAGAAACATCAATTAAATCAGCAAAGAACACAGCGAAAACCGAAGGTGGACCGACGACCTCATAAAGGTAGCAGGGAGGAGCTGGATGCAGGCCGCTACCAACCGGCCATTGTAGAAATCATTGCGTATGTTCAACAGGGCACATAGTACGCAGAACCGACGGCCGATGGGGCAGCAAGGTTCTGGAATGGAGGCCGCGTTCCGAAAAATGCAGCGTGAGACGTCCACCCACAAGGTGGACCGACGACATCATAAGTAGCAGGGAAGCGATAGACGCAGACCGCTACCAATCGATCAACATGGAAAGCATTGGGGGAGGCCTATGTTCAGCAGTGGACGTCCTATGGCTGTAATAATGATGATGATGATGTTCAGCAGTGGACGTCCTATAGCTGGCTATGATGATGATGACACCGAAAGCTTAAACCAATCACTTTAAGTCGCTAATATCATCATCAATTTAACCACTGGACGTCCAACGCTGAATATAGGCCTCTCTTAATGCTTTCCAGATTGGCCGGTTGGTACACAACTTAGCTGAATGAAGTAAAGTCAACAGCACATCAGACCATACATTTTTGTTGGAAAACAGCACCTATTACGAGGACATAAGATGCCATAGTATTTAGCTTTATTTGCTGTCGTCTATACTTATTTAAACAACCTACAAATTGAGCATTGCATGTAAATAACATGATCCGTACGATAGAACCTTGAAATTTTCACTAACAATTTGTGACGTAACTAAAAATTATAATTGCTCATGTAATTTCTCTCGCTAGAGAGAAATTAATAAAGTTGATTAATTTTAATTATGAACGTTTTCCAAGGAAATTGATAACAGTATCCTTTTCTTAGAAAAATGAGTAACAACTTTCTTTGTTACTCGTTCTTCTACACAACGTTTGCTTTCTTCGAAAACCTTAACACATTATTTTCAATACACTACAAACGCAGATGGAATGAAATGGAAAAACACACAAGAGCAGTGATTTTGCAGATCCAAGGCGATATTACCTTTTATGTAGTTGTTAACGGCACGGTCATTACGATGGTGGCACACGGCGAGCGAAAGGGTTGGATTTCTGAAGTTTAATTTCTATTTTCACCCCTGTGACCACAGCCAAACAGTGGTAAAATTACCTTCTACTATTGTTAAAAAAATACTTAGACAGATTGATTTCACCATATCAAAGTCCAGTTAGAATTATTTTAAAATAACATTTTAACAAAAATATTATATTTAGTAGTTACCTGTATGCTTTGTGCATATTGTGTGTGTATTTAGTGTCTACTGCCAGAACACCATACTGTTTAAATTTACAAAGGCAAATAGAGCGTTTGGCATACAGATTTATTTATTTATTTATAATCATACCTAAGTTAGAGTATCTATACTATGAAATGCAATAAAGAATTGAGTATTGAGAGTAGAAAGGTAGGCCAGATGTTCGCATCTCTTTTATGTTCCCTTTTATGACGTGGAAGTGGAATTAAAAGGATAATGAGCTTTCATTATGAGCAAAATTATTTCGGTTGCTACAGAGTGACAAAAAATTAAAAATATTTTTCAATCCTATCAAGCAACCCTTAAACTCTCTGTGTGCCCTCAACTTAAGCTACGTGATTCGCTGCCACATAAGTTTTTATTCGAAGAAAGGAAAAACAGCTTTTACTATATCAGCAGTCTTGATTCGATCGAACTTTACTGCTCTCAGGAACGAACAAATTTCACAGTTTTCAATCACCATTAACTTCGTTTACTTCCTTAGAAAACACTGAAGTTACGATATTTTGAAAGGTTTGAAATTAATACATTTTTTAAGTTTCACGAAAAAGGAGAATACTTATTCTTGGTTGCAATTCCTGTGTAGCTGACCAACGCTTACTACCTCACAGTGCGGATGGACGCACAGGGTGACACACGAACCAATCACAGAGCTCTATTCAACGCTGTGCGTTCTATTTGTTGCTTCACGAAGCAAGCATGGTTTGTGAATACGGGCGTAAGTAACGTGATGAAGAAAAACATACCTTTTATATACAGATTGACGGTCCGATTCACTTTGGCGACGTGGTTGGCCGCCACACATGTGTAAGTTCCACAGTGGTCCAAAGACACGTTCTTTATTATGAGCACGCTGAAAACCTCCATGCTTCGCTCTACGATCTGAAAATTGCAATTACGTTTTAAATGGAGTTCTATTTCAGTATCAAATATATTATATTTTGTTCGTGACACCAAAAGTGACCAAAAAGTTGATAACACAATCTTATTTCAGTTGTAATAAAGACGTGTGTTCGAACTTATTGGCTACTTTAGGTGTCAAGAACTATTTGACGCTAACTCTATATGTGAGAAAGCGTCGAAAAATTGCCCTTTTATTACTTAGTGCTTTGTTAAGTATGAAAGTTAAGCATGTAAGTAATTGTCAGAAAATACATAGTGGCAGGTACCGATTTATTACATTTAAAATATCGTTGTCAAAAATAATTCATAACCTAAGCCATCCCTTTTGCATTCGGATAAAAAGATAACAGCGCCAATGTCAACATAATTAAAGATGACGTCACAGCCAGATTAATTTTAAGACTTCCCCCGCTGAAACGGGGACTTTCATCCTTGATGAAACAGGGACTTCCATCCTTGAATGGCGGCAAAATTATGAAGCATTTGAAGCGTTAATAATGAAATAACATCTAATCTGCGGATTATGCAAACGAGAGTTCCCAAAATTGGTTTAAGGATATAATTACAACAAACAACTTGTGTTTAATTTTAATTTATGCAAATTTCATCGGTTCTAACAAAAGTTTTGAGGTTCGCGGACTTTCTGGGCGAAACAAAGCAAATAGCTCGAGGGTATGTCCTAAGAGGATTCCTGAGGACTAATGCGTCGGAATATTGCGTTTTTAATTAGAAAGTCATTTATTTCGGAACTTATTTATAATCCAAGCGACCATTTAAGCTGTTCGGATGCGAAAAACAGGACTATTCCCACCTTTCACTCATTCTCATTGCCATCACTCTTGTTTGACCAGGGCCAGATTCAGTGTAACTACCCAAAAAACCTAAGGATGTTATTTCTCAGATTCGGATCACATAACCTACAGTGCGTAATTAGGCACTTCAGTGAGACGATATTTTACTGTGTCTGGATGGTTTGGACCTGAAATGTACTTACTTGGACCTATGGTGGTGAACTCACTCCTGATTTGTGCACTAAGATTCGGGAAAATTTTCTTTCATTGAACCCGTAATTTTATTAATAAGAAAAATATGAGATAGGCTGTACAGGTAGGTACAGTGTTTTGAAATTAAATGAAGTGAGTAAAATCGTAATTCCACCATAAAAGACTAACTTTTGGACTCACCTTTAGATGCGTAGGAATCTTCTTCCCATCTTTCAGCCAAGAATAGTACACAGGCGAGTCCCCACTCTTCAAGTTACAATGTATTTGGACTATCTGACCTTCTTGCAGATCCTGAGCCAGCAATATTTCTTCTAGCTGAGGTGGTTCAACCACATGTAGCTCAAACGATCTCTTAGCCATCTCTCCTGTAGGACTCCTTACTATACACGCGTAAGATGCCCCATTGTCACTTTTAGTGACCTTATTTATATTCAAAACCCCATCATTAGTCACTGTAGCTAAGTCCCTCTTCGTTCTTAACTTGGGCTTTCGACCAAATATCTCTATGCTCTCCGTGTTTTTGACGAAACGCTTAAAACGACTGGATTGGGTTGTCAATTCGGCGCTTATTTCTTTACCTTTGTACTCCCATGTTATTTCTCTGAAAGATAAGCATTAGAATTGTGTGGAAAGTGAAGTCTGAACTTTGATGAATTCGCTTGTATCTTTATTGGAGTAGGGTCGACTTTTGCGTGACTTTATATCTTTGTTATAAGATCTCAAGACTAAGTTTGGACTTAGTTTTCATCTGAAATATTTAGATGATCAAACGAACTTACCAAGTGNAAGGAATGAGACCGCTCGGACACCGAGCCCACAGCGTGGTAGGGGTGGGGTTGCCCGCTCTTTTGTTTTTTACTACTACTGCGCTGAATATTGTGTGCGGATTGGCTTGTCGTACAGGGGTACTACATGGTAAAATAAATCTCGGAGGCGAAAGCAGGATAATGGATATCTAATTCTATAAATTCAAATTTATATTCAACACAACTTTATTACTTATCAGTTTCTCAAATGAAAATTCGTAAAGACTTCAATACTATCTAAGATTTATTTGAAAACTTTTGCCAGAAGATCTTGAACTAGAGGTCGAGTTGTGGTTAGAACGGGACTACAAAGTCAATGGTCTCAAGTCCGAATCCCGCAAGAAGTATTTAAAGTACAAATTGTAACTCACCTTACAGGGTAACCGTAATAAGGACATCTTAATGTTACACTTTGACCACTTTGAACTTTAAAAGGCGGCAGCGTTCTAATATAAGGCGGACCTGTAACAAAAATATTATATTGTATTGATCGCACTTATCAATATCTTACAAAATAGCCAATTTAGTTCCGACGGCGATCAAAATGTGGCGCGATGTTCCATTTTACATCGCGATTTTGAAACACAATCAAAGAGTCTCAGAAACCATCACTTACATTCTGTGAAACATTATCGAGTGAATGGGAGTACCGTAACGGGATTTAAAATCCAACAACTCTGATTTCTTTTGGACCAATTAGGCTTTTTGCTTGGCTCACCGGACCGACGGCCAAAGCTCAGAATCGTCGTGCCTTCCAAACCTCGGAATCGTATTTCTTATAAGGCAATCATATTGTTTTAAGCCTGCAATATTTCTAATCATAAAATATTATGGTGAACCCACTCGTATCACAAGCATATTAAAATTTAACTTAGCGCAAGAGGTTGGCGAGACTATTAATGATTTGTGAAAGAAGTACCTAATACATAGTGACTGAGTTCCTTGTGCTGCTTCTTCTCAGCACTGGCCCATTTATTGTCCTGAAGCAGTGGTAGGGTTAATACTGGGACGTGTAAAAGTGCTTTTTAAAACCCTACTTGCATTAATAAATTACTTTTATAAAACAAGAAACAAACGTCAATCAAATATTACCGTCAAAGCATTGTATTAAATAACCACGTCATATTTGCCAAACCAAATTATTTGAACAATGCACAACAGATTTTGAAACAACATTAAGCAAAGCATTTGCACAGGCACCGCTCGCTCGTAAAATTTCCCTCAAAGGGGTAAAGTTTCACATGTTATTGAATTAACCTGATATTCAGAAAACATTAATACCGCATTTTGAGTGCAGCGAGTGGAATGAAATGTAGAATATGCAGGCACATTAGGAGTGTATAATATTTTTGTTGGAATATAACATTTAAATAAGACGAGAAATTGACAAAGGAGACTGAGTTTCATCCGCCACTTCTTCTCATCACTGTTTTTGTATGTTGTCTTGAAGTGGTGGTAGGGTAAGCTTTATTTGGGACGAGTATGTCTTATAACTACAGGGCCACTTATGGCCTCAAAGTCCATGGAACACGTATTGTGCGAATGCGACGCGCTAGCAAGAACTAGGATGGGTCTCCTGGGGTCGGCTTATCCGGCACCAGAAGACTTAGGTTCCTCTCACCCAAGCACTTGATTCAACTAATGGATAGATTTTTTTGCAGTTGAGGGAATAAAGGTAAAGGGAAGCACAAAAGATCCCAATGAGTCGATGTGCACTACGCTTATAAGGTGCCCTGAAAAGGGCTTGAGAATTTGGAGAAGGCGGTAATTAGTATAATTCGCCTGTATTTGTCAGAAAATATTCCAGTTTCACTCAGCGCCTATTTTACTACCTTACAAATTCCAAAATAACTTACCATATACATTAATTCTGTCATGGTGTGCCAGCACTGTGTCCCCGTGGTGGGCCACGCACGAGAATAGACCCCCATCGTCCACCATAGCGTGGGACATGTTGAGTTGGGACACCACACCTCCGTCGGGGGCCATAGTTTGACCGATCACGTATCTGGAAGAAAATCTTTATTTATATTTATTTATTTATTTATTTATTTATATTAGGAAGACCAGGGTTTACCCTTATATCTGACTTATGCCCATTTTCACCAATAATCCTTATTTTTTAAGTGACCCCTCTATGAAAACAAAATGCCTGTTATGTGTTACCATATGGGTCACTTAAATATTAGGGTGGTTAACACAGATATAGAAATACAATATCTGTGGTGGTTAAAATCATTCTGGGAGTGGGTAGTCAATGCGAAAAAAAAACGGTTGGAATGTGCAGGTGTCAAAATGTCCATACGGACCGGCTGTTAGTGTGGCAAAAATTATGAACGTCGAAATGAGCAATGGTTAAAATGATCTGAAGTTAAAATGTCTTCGGGTTTATTCGAACAAGCGTCTTATTTTATAATAGCGAACGTGAACATGTGTTTAAATGCATCAAGGTAAAAATGTCCAAAAAATCTTTATTGACTGGACTACAAGAACATTGTACATTTTGACGTTTAATTTCATTAATAATTAAATCATGAGCACAATATATCAGTTGATCATTTTATCTATCACACCTTAATGTTGTACCTACTTGTATTTTGTGATGTGTACCATTTGTCACTAAACAATTGTAACCATGGTAATAATGTACATTTTGACACTGGGACTTTTTGACGTTCATACTTTTTGCCACACTAACAGCTGGTCATATGGACATTTTGACACCTGCACGTTCCAACCGTTGAGCGTTTTTTCGCATTGACTACCCACTCCCAGAATGGTTAAAATAATGGTGAGAACGGGCATTAGAATCAAAAACTTAATAAGTATTCCTAGATTTGTATTACGAAAGAACCGGCAAAGCTAGATTCAAGCCTTTAATTGATTGAATTTCTATATTTCATAGTTGTGAGTTCAGTTGTGTTTTCGGTTCCAAAAATCCCGGGATTTCCCGGTTCTGGAATGATCATACAGCACTGGTACCAAATGAACCGTGAAATCCTAGTTCTTTTTTAATTATTATCAAGTTTTGAACGACTAAATGGGTTCTAGACAGGCTGTGCTACTGAAAACGTTTGTTGACAAGTTGTTGATAAGTATAAACAACTCATTTAACAAAGTCAAAGTTAAAGTTAGTCAAAGTTAAAAGATAACGCGTAGTTGGTTTACGTTCTCATTTTGATTAGGTACGTGATATTAGGTTGCTTAAATATTATTAGACTTTTGAGTGTCTCTTTATAACAAAGGCCTACGCCGTTATTTTCCTTTTTTTAATTAAAACAGTAACATACCTAAATAACTTCTGAGACTTTAAGTGAAACAAAAGCGTCAGGAATAATTGCAGCTCTATTTCTCTCTACTATAAACGAGAGCCGACTCTAAAATAAATCTCTTCTGTTATAGGTTCAACAAAGTCTTGTGTGACGTGCTTGATTCTGAATAATGTACCAACTTAAATTTAGTCCGAAATTTGTGCCAAACCGAAATCAATGCGAAAATTCAAACCTAGAATCTGTGTTGGACGAAATAACCAGCCCATCTCTCTCCCAAACGAATCTGGCCGGGTGAGGCCCGTTGACTATACATTGGAGGCTGACCTGAAACCAAAAACACCGTTAATGTGTCTGGAATACGTTCTAGAATACCGTGCACTGTATTTAATTTTGCTTTGGAGAATAATTACATTTGTGATTCATGAAATAGACCTGTATTTCGTAAGCAATATAGGGTGTCATGTCTGGAGATATAATTAAAATTGTAACGATTACGTCATAATGGTTTAGTCACAACGTTATTGGAAATTAATTAATGTAGATTTTTGTAGAACATACTTGTATTCGACGGGATAAGAAGTAATAAAAAATAATCTAAAACAGCTTTATTTATTTATTTATTTTATTTATTTAGCTTTATAGCTGTTATCACGAGGGAAATAAAGGCTTTATTTGTGGCCCTATGAGGTGAAGCATTTAAAAATATTACCGTCAGTAAAAATGTGGCGCAAATAATAAAACCAAAACTTGAATTCTTCTAAAACGTGTCAAGTTGCTAAAGAAGCCATCACAAAAACTTCTCTAACTTTTAAAACATTTTTCTTTCACAAAAGTTTGACGTATTGCCAAAAAAGAATTATAGCTGATGTCATAAAATCTCGGTAGTGAAATATTTCACGACACAATGGATGATATCGGCAATACATTAAATATTCATTGTAATTTAAATTCGCTTTACTTCTTTGTGTTGTGACAAGTAAAGAATGGGTTCTGCTTTCGTAGACAAAGTAATATTTGTGCCGTAATAAATAAGGTACCTACTTACTGACTTTACGCTACGTATAACTTGAGTATACAGTGTGTCCGGGCTTGTAGTGATCAAACTTTAAGGGCGTAATCTATGGACAATTTTATCGATGAAAATACTTCAAATTTGGGGCCTGACCCATTTCTCGAAAAATTACATCGATTTATGTTTTTAATTTTTAGTTTACACCTCTTCTTTAAAAAATAAAGTGAAAGCGTGGGTAGCTTAACATGAATAGGCAAATATTTTATATCATGCGATAGCCAATAAAATTATCTATTAGTAGAAGAAGAAAGCAGACACAAGTTTCATACATTTTATGGGAGTAAGAATGGATTTAATTAGAAAAATACATTACTTTTTTCACTTCTTTTTCAGTTATTTTCCAACACAAGAAAAACCAGGTCGTTAAGGTATGTTTTATTTGCATTGTATTTTTAGTATTTGAGCTATTTTACAAAACGAATGTAAATTTATTAGTCTACGTCTATTAGTTTCGACGTAATTGTTAAACAAAGATACCCCTTCCCAGCGGTTTCCATAGTAATCGGAATAGGTTGTGTGATTCTTTCAGGCAGTGCATTTTCGCATGTCGCGAGCGCTATGGAAACCGCTGGGAAGGGGAAATAATAATTAATTGTTACTTACATCACCCCCTGGCATTAGTGTAGTTTCTCCAAAATGCTGCGACATTATCATTGGTATATTCCTCTTATACCTCCTTATTTGTGAATCTAAAAGATAATTATTATATAGTACAATCAGCGCCAAATAGTTCATAAGAGCGCTTTCACATTTAGGCAATGGACAATTTGACACCATTCTCCAATAATTCGAAATCACAACTTTTCTAAAAAGACACTTCATTCTGGTCATAAAAACTTAATTAATTTTTAATTACCTGTAAATTTCGATTTTTGGTCGCATTGTAATTGAAAATAGTTGTATAATTTAGTTGACAAAATAGTGACGTCACTTGCTTGTAGTGCCATACAAAATCTATGGGAGAGTTTCGTTTTGACAGTTTTAAAAAGTACGTCAATTGATTGGTGGTGTCAACATGTCTATTTAGCAGCGTGACAAACGCGCAACAGGCGCGCTGCTGAATATTTCATACTATGTGACAACGAATGCATGCCTTCACATTATATAATCGTCGCTGCGGCACTGCAGTCGCGCTACTAACGCCCTAATGTGAAAGCGCTCTAAAACACCCAAAATGGCCAAAAAGTTGACAACGACGCAACCTCATACCAATTGTAAGGGCTATATTTCACCCGGACACAATGGCGGTTGGCGGCGCAACCAGTCGCCGGCTACCAACAAAATGTATACAACTCTATAGAGTGTTACTCACCTGGTGTCCGTTTGGTTGCGCAAAGCTGCATACATTTTGATAGTAGCGGCGGCTGGTTGCGCCGCCATGGTGTCCCGGTGAAATATAGCCCTAATAACAAAGACGCGCTGCGAACTCTTTAGGTACCTAGCTAGGTACTATTTTTATCTTCTTATTAGATACTACTAACTACATGGGTATTTGAAAGACACTGACTGTACAAGGACATGTAAAATGTTTAAAAATAAACTCCAAATCTGGGCGATATTGCCCGCAATGTTGCTACAATATTCAATATTTCTAAGAAAGGTACATTTATTATTTACCTTGATACATATTTAGCCACCGCTCCCGACTGCTCGCTGTTTTTTCCCTGAAAATGGATGCGAAGTGAGAAGCACGGACCAATTATTTTTAATGGACAGACTGGGCGACTATCGGTGGAGTCGCTGTGTTATTCTGCTGGGCATAGGTTCTCAAACTGTGGAGGGTTTTGCCCCCATTTGGTAGGATAGCAAATCAACCAAACATTGGGGGATCTTATATCGTTCTAAATGTTGATATTTTGCAACAAAAATGAATAATCTGATATGCTGTTGACTGTAAATACTAATATACAACCCGATAAAACTAACTGCGCACCTCGCTTGAATGCGACTCTCCCTCGCACTCACTCGCAAACCTCCCCGTGTGACGTCACGGATGCCAGGTCAGGTGTGCAGTTAATTCGATCGGGTTGTAAGTCAGAATATTCTGCAAGTCTCATCATCATCATCAACAGCTCTTTACAGTCCACTGCTGGACTATGAGCCTCCTCCACTGTAGTGGAGGGTTTTACACTTCACGAATTCAAACTAGTTCCGTCTCCTTTTTGCGAGTGTTCCACTGATGATGTCAGTCATGAGCAGTCTGCCCATCATATCTTGTGGGAGTGTGATCTTTGGAAACATGAACGTGATATAATGCTTAATTCAATACAACATACATCTGTTTCCGCAATTTATTACACCGATCTTGTCGCGACAAGGAAAAATTTCCGTGCTTTTAAGCGATTTTGTGAAAAATATTATTGGCAGGTAGTTGCTAATTGCTCATAAGATAGGCCCCCTTAATTTAATTTATTGTCCGTGGTGCATAATCTTTTTCTTAAAGGTTTTAAACCTTTGTTTGTCACCTGTCATCCGCTTTGCAATGGAGGGAAGTCGAACCTTAATTTCGAACTCCTCCTATGTTCTTCTGATTAATTTCGTTGCGGGTCCAATGACAGTTTAACTTTCCCCCGGGACAAACTTGACCTTCATTGGTTGGGTTTTTGTGGCGGTCAAGCTGTAGATCCTGGCTACACAGGAGTTGCAGTGGTGGGAACGAGAGGTGGGAATAGTCTGTAGTGGAGGGTTTTGCCATAATCTCCACGCTTGGCAGGCGGGTTGGAGATCGCAGTTTAAAAGATTGATGTTTTTCAGAGAGCGCTGCTGCCCATTCTCAGTTTGATGTGTAGTCCCTAAGTCGCCTCTTACGACACCCGCGGGAAGAGTAGGGGTTGGTGACAAATGTATTCTACTCTGCCGTCACCACACGGCAAGTCTACATGGAAAATATACTAATCGCTTACCACGACCTACCTGCCTCATCATAAGGTTCAGAATTGAACGTTTTAGCAAGTTGAAGTACTGGAGTTTGTGAGTATAATAAATACAACGGTCCAGTGAAACTTCAATTTGCCACCGTTTTGGGACCTGTGCTTTAAGTTGTAGCAACAAACTTAGTTAAGGGGCTGACTTCTTCGGGTTATTTTTAGAGGCTATCCAAAAGCAAGTACGCCATGGACGAAATAAGAGATAGGCTTTTTACTAATTAAGATCGGCATGTAAGATATTTTTTGCTACATTCGTGGGGGTGGGCCGTGAATACGTTAGAATATTAAAATTTATACAATTTAACTTGGAAATTAGAATTCAGCCGTATAAATAATAAACAAGTCTTTTCATGCATCAGATTAAACTCTGTTTTGGGTATTCAACGAAGTTCTTGTTGTTTTTAAGATGCTGTTGAAACTTTCTCTTGATGCTCTTGCTCTATAAAACCATTTAGTATCAGAGTATCATTTGATTTTTTTTTTCTTTTTATATCTGTCTTACCATACCATGTCATATTGTCCTGAGGGTACTATTTTGTCCTACTTTTGGTACTTTCTGTTTGTAATGTGTGTTTCTGTTATGCAAATAAACGTTTTATCTATCTATCTATCTATCTATCAAAAAGTAAGTCAGAAAGAGAAACGAACTTATGGCTTACGAGTAAGTCTTCTTCTAAAGTATGCAAATTGGAGAGAGAACGAATGAAAAAATACAAGTTAGTCGAAATTATATCCATCCATGGGCAATAACTTCTTCGTTTTTAACCGAATTTAAAAAAGGAGGAGGTTCTCAATTCGTTTGGTATGTTTTTTTAATAATATCAATAGCATTCTGATATAGGGGGGCTACAAAAATTTTGAGAAACGACGCTGTAATGAATATGACCATCAATTAATTTTTAAAATGATCGATCGTGTTGCTTTTATTAAAACTAGGATTGCTGTTTGAATTCAGATTGCAGTTTCGATCAAACCGGATGAAAAATAACAGTTAAAATTCAGATAAAAAAAACATCGAGTTGGGAAAACTACGTTTATATTAAAACGTGGAATACGTACGTCGTCAGCGCAGTATAGAGATCCTAGGACCGTATTAAGAAATATAAAACAAAAAAATACATTATTCAAGTCAGTGATAGCACAGAATAATAATAAGTATGGTGATAGTTCTAACTTTTGGTAAATGAATAGTCCTTCTTTTCACAACATCTTTATCCGTTCGCTTTAAGTTTGCCGCTGGCGATATGACGTCACTCGAAGGGAAGCGTCTATAACTATAACTATATTTAAAATATTTTTTATTTATTATTATTGATAAAAATTGTGTATTTGCGTAAAATAAGACACATTAATTGCGTTTAATCACTAACTAATTGCGTTTAATCGCGGTTGGGGGAGGGGACGCGCATTCCACGGACCGGCAAACTTAGCGCGAACGGGTAGTAGTGTGTTTATCCGTCAATATTAAAGCTCTGACATAGTTTAAGGGTAGGTGGATATATTGAAATATTTTCTGTGTACTAGATATAGAATAATTTAGTCATAACTATTGATGTGCCGTTCCCGAGAACGCTCTCCTCACTGAGAATATTCTCGGGAGCGCTCCCGGGAGCGTTCTCCTAAGTGAGAAAGGTTGAGAATCATGTTTATCAAATGGAAATAAACAAACTTTCTTAAGTAAAATAGTATTAAATTAAGTCGACAGATAAGTGTATATTAAACAATACACTCTATTTGCAGAGAAAGGCTATATTCTCAGTGTTCCCGAGAATATTCTCGGGAACTTTCTCGGCAATATTCTCGGCAACTGTTCCTTTATTATATTTTATTTTTTTCGTCGTGAAATGTCGTTTTAATGATATGTAAGATGACAGAAATTTCTTTTTACATGCAATTAAATAATATAACTGTAAATTTTTTCGTTTTTAACACGCTTTTATTAGGTCGTCGTGTATGTAACTAACTAAGTAATGGAATCTTAGAATCTGAATTACATGCATTTCTAAGTCTTGTATCATCATGAAACTTTATGCAGATTAGATGACAATACAATATTGTGGTACCAGCTGGTCTGATGATGGGACTGGAAGGTGGCCAAAGGAACTCCTAAACGAAACGGTGGAATCACATCGAGTTTGGGTTCATTGGATTTGTCTTTTCGATATCTTTAAGTGCTAGATAATGTCCAGGGTCCTAATGATGGAGTCAGGAGGTGGCCATAGGAACTCCTAAACGAAACGGCGGAAACTCATCGAGTTTGGGTCCGTTGGATTTGTCTTTTCGAGCACTTTAATGCTAGATGATGTCCAGGGTCCTGATGATTCCTGTTAGTAACTAAAAGCGTGTTTTTAGTTTTTAAACTATTCTTTACATTTGACATTAAGGGCATATTTCACAATCGCTTATTAAGGGCCTGTTTCGCCACTTCTGGATAAGTTGTGGATAGCCTGTCTGACGGATCATTTGACACATTTTTATATAAAATACGTGCTAGCTAGATTGATCTTAGTCTGTACGAGATTAGAATGGTTCTCAAACAGCTGAAAAACAACAAGGCACCGTAATCACGGCTGAGCTTCTGAAAGCAGGTGGAACGCCGGTACTAAAGGCTTTTCAGAAGCTGTTCGATTCCGTCATCCTCAAGGGAATTACGCCTACGGCATGGCAAAGAAGTATGGTGATACTCCTCGTCAAAAAAGGCGACAAAACCTTGTTGAAGAATTATAGACCCATTTCGCTTCTGAGCCATATCTACAAGCTGTTTTTGATAGTCATTACGAATTGTCACGCTAGCAGGCTTGACAACTTTCAGCCCCCCGAACAAGCCGGTTTCTGAAAAGGCTTTAGTACCATAGACCATAATAATATACGCTACGGCAGATTATACGGAAGATCAAGGAGTATAATCAGCCACTTTGCGTTTGTGAACTATGAGAAAGCCTTCGATTCGATTGAGACATGGGCACTATGGGCAGTGCTCAGTCTCTCCAACTGTGCCAAATTGACTATCGATCGATACATTGAAGTGTTGAAAGGCTTGTACAAACACGCCATAGTAACAGTCCGTTTCAAGATCAGGACCCGAAACTTATCTAGTTGCAGCGAGGGGTGAGACAGGGAGACGTCATCACCACCGCCCTAGAAGATGTTTTCAAGCTTCTGGGCTGGAGCGGATTTAGCAGGAAGATCTAGGCACAATGCTCGATGGCCTCAATAGAGTCTCTCAACAAGTGGGTCTCAAAATGACCATGGACAAGATTTAAAAATCATGTCTAAAAACCGTGTTGCACCCACCCCTCTAAAAGTTGGAGACTCTACACTCGAAGTTGTTGACAACAATGTATACCTGGGACAAACAGTCCAGTTAGGTAGGTCCAACTTCGAAAAAAAAAGGTCAATCATCGAATCCAGCTCGGTTGGACAGCCTTCGGGAAGCTTCACGATATTTTCACGCGGCGTCTCCGTCGCGTCGCCGCTCCGCTTTAAATCCGCTTTGAATCCACTTGAAATCCGCCAGAGTGGCAAGGGCCTTAAAACTCAGAGGCACACTCATGTTCAAATACCGTAGCTGAGTCCTAAAGCCGCAGCACGCGTTCGCCACGAAAAGCGTGAGCAAGACAGCAATATTTCACTCACACGTTTCATGCCTTGTTTATGACGAATAATTTTAACGCCCAGTTAATAAAACATCGAAGTATTACAAATAATACCACATATAAACAACAAAATTAAAATTA